TGTTGTCGTTCCTTGACGAGTTCCCTATAGCTACATGCTGTGGTTTATTTATGACAGGTACGCTTAGAAGTATTTGCTTCCGATTGAAAACAATTTGAATGTTTTACTAGCCATTGGTTGAAGTTGACCAGCCTTTCCAGCAACTGATCTTAAACTTGGTTACCATAAAATTTATTCAAGCTAAAAAAAGTGGCTTAGATTTTAACACATATCGTACATTCATACAAGCAAGCACCACTTTGTATCAATATATCGTAACAACAGTAATAAGATACCGTAATACTCATTTGAGATGTCACAAATGTCAATGAGGTATCTTCACTAGTTTAGAAGTAATTATCCATTCCAGAAACAAGATTCAAAGTTGAATGTGATGATTAGAGGATTTCTTTTGCATTAGAGCCAGCTACGGTACGTTATGTACACCAGAAGTGCTAAAAAGGTGCTATTGTGTATCACATAGCTACAGTTATCGGTGTTTTATACCTATTGCACAAATTGTGTTATTTTAAGAATTTACATTTTCATTTTAGTCCCTATATAAACATTATCTGGAGAAAATGTTTTCATATGAGGATTCAATCCTTATATTTAAATTAAAAACAATTTGGTTATTATTGATCTAAATATAGTTATTCACTTAAATTTTCGATTTTAAGAGTCTGTATCGTCAGTGCATTCGCAATTGCCGGAACACCCTAATGTCACTTAAATGTTTTCTTTTACGGCATTATTCGAGGCGAGAGGAGAAGCTTCAAAATGACACTGATCAAATGCGCTATGAACGAAATTTCTTCTGGTAGTGCTTATCTATACAAGAGATTGCAGTGGAAATGTAAATATAGGGCTGTGCACGCCAACGAGATAAGCATCCTTTTGATGCTTCTCCCCACATCTCGAACAAAGCGAGATCAACGTAAGAAACAACAGATGCAATAACACCACAGATATTAAAATATAAAAAATCCTTATGTTCGGATCACTTTAATGTCTATAAATTTGGAATGTAAATATACAAATTGAGCGGTGGTTTTTAAACATTCACGGCATTATGACTACAAACTGAGAAACCTGCTCAGTTGCTGTATGATTTTTTTTAAGTGATTGTCCTTGGCGCCCATTGTTGAAACTGTGACGTTATACTTTCAATACTTCACTGTCATGTCTCCAAAGAAAAACGTTTGGAGTCAACAGGTCGAATTTAGATTTCGATTCAGCTGGAGAAACTGCTGTTTTCACGAATTATCGAAATATTTAGTCTCTGTTATGTAACGATAAACCGAATATTATATCCGTTTCTTAAAATGATTTCAACTATTTGTAGTTCTCCAGAAGCGCAATCAATAAAGCAAAAAAAAAATAGAAAGAAATAATCAGGCAATCTCTTAAGTTATGAAATAAAACCTTATGTAGGGGGCCGCGGTGGCCAAGTGGTTAAGGCGTCTGTCATTCTGCTACCACTAGCCCTCCACCACTCTGGGGTTGCGGGCTCGAGACCTACGTGGGGCAGTCGCCAGGTACTGACCGTAGGTTGGCGGTTTTTCTCCGGGAAATTCTGCTTTCCTCCACCAACAAAACCTGGCACGTCCTTGAAATGACCATAACTGTTAATAGGACGTAAAACACAAACAAACCAAACCAAACTAAAATAAAGACAACGTTGAATAAAAACAACAAGAGAATACATGTTAACAAAATCGTAATTCGAACTCAAATCGATAAACCTAGGGCAAAGTATGATCAAAGGAAACATTTACCTCAAGACCCTTGAAATAGTACAAGGAGAATACGGTCAGGTGTTCCGGAAGGATAAGCGTCTTCTGCTTCATCGACGACACTCGCCATGTAAAGTCTAAGACGAATCCCAGTAATTGGTTCATTGTTCATTGTTCATTGTTGACGACATCGTTGTAAGCGTTGCGTTTGGAGGCATTTCGAGTAGACATACAATACTCAATACTAGTGAAATTGAATGTATGTTGTACATTGATTTCCGGTTCCATTTAAAAAAAGGACGTACAATTCTAAAGAGATATCAAAGGCCTGTATAATTTACAAGTAACAGAACGAAGCATATAATACAGTTTTGTAAGTCTGCATACAGTTTGATAAGCACATACATGACAATATTATTTAGTTAAAAGTATTACGAATATTAAAAGGTTCATGGGATCAAACATTTTTGGGGATGATTTTTCCAGTGTTTGGTTAACCTGGTCTTAAAGAAAAACAGGGATATGGAGCAAAGACAATTCCAGTTATAAACAACAACGCTAAACTTAAAAGAAAAACTTCATATCACACACAGAAATAGGCTGAATTCTTTCCATGCGAAATCCTGTTTGCGACCATGAAACTTATACCACGGTCTAATCTAAGTCCTTGCTTATGCATAGTCTCCACCAATCTGCGTCTTGAAGTCATGAAATTCGGGCCAATCTCTTGAGGACCGAATCACAATGATCGGCGAAATGTAAACAGGACAGGAAGGGGGAATGAGGATGTTGCTATCAAGAAAGGGAACATTCACGATTAAAAGACGAAAGCGTCCCGTTTATCCTAAAGCTTATTAGTAATCGTCCATGTTGGTCATGTTGTTGTGATATTGTAAGTAAAGATCGACGATAGCCGCTGAAGTTGAGGAGTATGTGTCCTTGATTTCAAGCTACGAAGGATACAGTATATACGATCGATGCAACCAATGAATTTCTTCTTATTCAAATACACATCGTTTATATATTTGAATGTGAAGTTGAAAGACTTGACAAGGTTTTTGTTACGATGATCAGAAAAGAAACAAGAGGCCCAAGGGGCTTAGCGGTCACCTGAGTTACATCATAGGTACTGGTAGCTCAATTTTATTTTTTGAGATGTGATGTGGGAATCAACATGTAAACTAAGTGAAATACAATACTTGTCATGTCATCAAAGGTTAAAAAAAATAAAACATTGGTAAATTTTCCCTTTGGGGCCCCGCCCTAGCCCCTGGGGATTGGGCAGGAATACCATTTTTTTCAATGTTATACCCTCATCCACCAAAGATGATTCTGACCAAGTTTGAATAACTTTCTGCTGAAAATGGATAAACTATATCCAAAAGTGTTATTTCCCTTTATAATCTAAAGTTGTCAAAATATACCCAAAAGTGTTATTTCCTTATATAAATTATAGTAAACTTTACCCCCTCCCCAAGTGAGAACGGATGTCTCGGGGGCCCTGAAATTCACAATTTCAATGAAGCCCCTGATGATCTTTCCATCCATGCACAGAAATGGACTGTAGTACCTCTTAGTCCATCCTTGATATCCAAGGGTTATACGCTCACTTTCGCTCTCTACACCCCTGTAATATGTCATAGCAAATTTGAAGGCATGAAGATAGCTGTTTGATTGATCTCAGGTAAAATAAACTGACCGATCGCTAGGCTGATACCTGTCCTTTGAAGATAACAAAGGAGAGACGCCCGACTTCAAAGCCTGTCCGCGAGATTCTTTTGGTGTATATCAAAGGATTGAACTAGTCTTCTTGTCTCATCCACAAGGTGGCGCACACTGAGCCTTAAATTTTGCTATGACATATTCCAGGAGTGTAAAGAGCGAAAGTGAGCGTACCCCTGGATATCGAGGATGGCGTACCCCTGGATATCGAGGATGCTCTTAGTCTGGAGAAGATTTTTGAAATATTAGGCCCCGCCCTGGCCCCTGGGGTTTGGGTAGGAATCCCAATTTTACAATTTGAAACCTTCTTCCTCCAAGAATAATTTTCACTAAGTAAGACTAATTTCCTACAGAAAGTTGTCAAAATATACCCAAAAGTGTTATTTCCTTATATAAATTATAGTAAACTTTACCCCCTCCCCAAGGGAGAACGGATAGCTCGGGGTCCTGAAATTTAAAATTTAAACATGCAAAGAAAATGACTGTAGTACCTCTGAGTCTGGAGAAGAAGATATTTGAAATATTGGTTAATTTTCCCTTTGGGGCCCGCCCTGGGCCCAGGGTTTTGGGGGTAGGAATCCCAATTTTATAATTTTGTAGCCTCATCTATTAAGGATGATTCTGACCAAGGTTGAAAAAATTCCATCCGCTGGTCCTTGAGAAGAAGTTGAAAAGTTTACGGACGACGACGCAAATGTGTATGCAGGCCTTCCAAGGCTTTGTCAAGGCTCGACAGAAACCAGCATCATTTTACTGGGTCCGACCTTATTTCATAAACGAACAACTCTGGTCCAATCGGTGTAATCGTTTGGACCGCGATAAACGAAAACGGCCCAGTGATCTAAAAAACGTATTTTTTTCCCGGCAGAATTTGAAAAGTGATAAATAGACAGTTTAGCTCATTCCCATTAGGAGATTCGTATTTTTTATCATGAACGAGCAAAATGGCTCCTGAGATTTCATATGGAATAGCTGATCATGAATGGTTGGTAAATCCAGGGGCGTTTCTAGGATATTTGAAAGAGGGGGCGTAGAATCCAATCTTTCAAATTTTTTGGACCTTTTGTTTTGCTAATAATTGTGAAATGCACTAATGTAACGGTTCCTGACTTGGAGCATGTATATTTTATAGTTAAAGTTAAAGTGTCAGAGTGTTTAATTAATGAATATGATAAATTGCCATATTCAATTCAATTTTTTTGAAAAGGGGGGGGGGGNATCCACAGTTTCGGAGAATAAAAAACAATGTATCAAGAATATTATGCCCTTCTCTCACGCGTCCACTAAATTACATAACGTATCTTAAAAACTACATGTGGCTTGACATTGTTTTAGAAAGAAATAACGCAAACTAGCAATATTCAGCAGTTTAGTTTCGGCCAGGTACGTCTGAACCCCTCAATCTACACGTACCAAATTTTCCTGAGGTCAGCCTCGGTCCAAATCTGTACCTGTCGTTTTCTTTACAGGTTCAACCGGTTCAACCGTTTCAACCGGTAACGCGAATGTACCCTTTGTTGAGCAGGCTCGTCCGGTCTCTCCGGTTTGCATTTAGTTTCGCCAGTATCTCACAAACATTCTTGTGATTCAGAAAATCCAATATGGCGGTCGAAGGTGCCTCGCCGAACTTTGGCGAAATGCAACTGGACTTGGAGGAGCAGGAATTGCAGGTTAGCTTTTTAAGATGTATATACTGACCTAGCTTAGCTGTTCAATGGGAGAATTCTATGTCATGAATAGGTTACAACCATCCTATAACGTTAAATGATGGATGAATATACACGGTAAGGTACCGAACACCTTCGTCATTATGTTTGACGGTTCAACCACAGGGTCACGTTACAATCACACTTATGCTATACTGATGTGTGTTGTGACTCATATCAGTATAGCATAAATGTGCTTGTAACGTGACCCGGTGGTTCAACACCTTTCAATGGCGACTGGCCAGTTTCAGTTCGTTAATGACAAAAAGCATGCTACACACACTGAGTCAAGTCTTTTTTCCGTTCTGGAAGCAAGCCGACAACGTACAGGAATATGATGACTCAAAACCCGGTGGTGAATCTGGATGGGTTTTCTGGTACCAGTGTTCGTTTATAATAATAAATGTAACATTTTTGGGTATATATCCTGGCGGACCTGCAACTGTTTAGGTAGGCCTTGCAAGGCTTTGTCAAGGCTCGCCTGAAAGTGGGATAAGATTACTCGGTCCGACCATATTCCATAAACGAACAACTTTTGTCCAACCGGTTCAACCGTTCATGTACTGGAGCACCATCAAATCTGGCTATATAGTCAAATATGACTATAAGTATATGTAGCCCAGTATTATATACTATGTATACATGTAACCCTGGTAAATACTAGCCGCAATATATCGCTCGGCTATAGAGAACTTCTCTTTAGCTCGATCGGTTGAGCGTTAGACTAGTAAGCCAGAGGTCCCGGGTTCGATCCCATGCGGAGGTAGTGATTCATATTTAATTAATCATGCGCTCTGTTACATACACATGCAGGTACTAGCCTCGTCTGACAATACACCTGTAATATAATCATAGGTGTATTGACAGACGAGGCTATAGCTACTGACTCGGCTAGGGAGATTTTCTCTTTAGCTCATTCGGTAGAGCGTAAGACTAGTAAGCCTGAGTTCCCGGTCCATAGAATATGTTTGTTGCCAACTGCGTTCATACTACCGTATATGCAATCAAAATGAAGGTCAATCCTTAAATATAGGGTGAATGTACAAACACACCAGTACTGTTCGTAATTATCTTGTGCACATCAATTGAAGTGTACAACCTAAACCTAACAGGTAAGTTGGTGAAATAAAAGAATTTCACCTAAAAACTCAATTGCATTGTCATTCATTTGTTTGATTTCCATCGTTGCGTTTTTTTCCCTGTCAACATACATCACTTATTAGTAACAAACTATAGTGTTACTTTGTTCGTGTTACCGAAGATTAGCATCCTGATGAAGCAGATTCGGCCTGTGCTTTCGAGTAAGAATGATAACATGCATTTACATTTGTTCGTGTGTCGGGAGGGAGTGAAATGTTTTGTGTTTCGTACAGAAATTGTTACTATTCCTGTCTGATCATCAGATGGAGAGGGTAAAAGGATGCAAGTACCAAGAATTGCAATGGTGACATTCAACAGTCATCGGAAATTGAGTTTTTAGATAAAAATATTTTATTTCACTGACTCGCTTGTTTGGTAAACATTTCAATCGATGTGCACAAGATAATTACGACCAAAATCTTCTTACTAATTGATACCAGACAAATTTATAAATTTCACACAAGGGTAAACATCAAAGACATTTTGACATTGTCTTAGATTGGTCTTTTTATCTGCCACAGCAACTCCAGGGGGATCCTAGCAGGTTTATCTAATGAGTCATGGGTGAGGTAACCTATAGTGGTTGTTGGAGAAATACATTTACCGCTTCGTATTTCAGATCAAAGTCCTTATTACTGTAAATTCTTGTTTGTTTCCTCCTTAGAACCTCATTACTAGGACAGATGTCCTGCATTTTCATCAATTATTTAACCTTTTCAGTTTTTATGATCAATAGATCTGCAATGTCTAATGTTATAATATCTGCTTGACACATTCCAACATCATGAATACCGCCACTATATAATATTTTCAACATCCGGTGACATTTTATATTGTAACATTAATCATGTTTGTCTGCAAATTTGGGGATTGCCACCCACCATATTAAAGTTACCAGGATAATTTGCATTGGATAACCTTAATGTTTCAGGCACCTGGTGGAGTTGGTTCCCCTCAATTGTATAACCAGCTGCTGGCCCTGTATCTCCTCCATAATGAGATGTGAGTATACTGTAATATCACTATATCAGTAGCATGAAAATATTGAGTAAAATGTGAGTATGATAATATTAATAATATAATCATATAATATTCATATCACCAAGACCGCAAGATTTCAGTATGGTAGCAGTGCAGTACGTACATGACAATATATAACACAAGTGTTCATATGGATATTTTTAATTTTTATGATATATATAGAATGCAATACACAGGGATGTATGAATTGATCAAGTTGACAATTCATGACCTATATCATATTCAGAAAATTAAAGGCTATCTATTTTTTTCTTTAAAAAAAAGACAACTTCGTATATTATATTCAACTATGTTTACCCAAAAAACTGATGATCTGGAAAACTATTCAGTTAAAAAAAATCCACAAATGAAATAAAATTTACTAGTGCCAGTATGTTTTTAACTTTCGCAAGCCTAGGCTAAATATCTAGTATTTGGTATGCCTGTTGCGTTAGTGGAGTTTTACGAAAAACTCTAGCATGTTTTTGATGTTTAATACATGTGTTCTGCTGTAGGTGCCAGGCAAAGTTTCTTTGGAAGAGAATTCCAACAGCAGTGAAAAGTGTGAGTAGTGTAGCGGAACTGGACTTGGTCGATCGTCAGAGACCATATAGCTCAATTGGTAGAGCACCGTCTAGAGTTGGGAGGGTCCCAGGTTAAAACCCCGGGTCTGGCCGTGCATTTTTCCTCTCCTGTTACATAGGTACATGTGACAAATCCTTGTTTCAAGCATTTGGTTTATGTTTGGCAAAAGGGTCTGATACCCAAACCTGGGTTGTAAATACGGTGATGTCTTCGAGGGCAAAGACTTAGAAAAAGGAATGTATCGGAACTGGACTGGGTCGATTGTCAGAGACCATATAGCTCAATTGGTAGAGCACCATCTAGAGTTTGGAGGGTCCCGGGTTCAAACCCTCGGTCTGGCTGTGCATTTTTCCTCTCCTGTTACAGTAGTATTCAATCAACCATCAATGAAACCTCACAATATTAGCTCTTGTCTTCAGTAATAGTGACACCTAAACATTTCCCTAAGTCTCATATTCTTTATATGATCATTGTCAAACATATACATATGCAATGTTTTTGCAAGACCTTAAATTTTTGGGTGAAATCAGGCATAAATCACAAATTTTGACCTCTTTTTCTGGCAAATTTCACTTTATATCCTTTGACATAAAAAAACCACTTTTTTATTTCACTTTGTTTTGAAGGTGGCTCCTCATTTACTGTAATCCATTGTATGCTTTGTTTGCAGACGACCCCTGAGTTGACTACGATCTGGGCAGCAGGCCAGAAGATGTGGCAAAGAGACTACACAGGAAGTTACGAGGCCTTGAAGAAAGAATATTCTACAGAGGTCAAGCCCATAATGGAGGCAGCCCTTGGTATGAACCCCACATAGCATTGTACTTCAAACATGTTATGATGTTAATTTCATAATTTTCAATTTTGTTGCTATGCTGAGGCTTCTACGCATGGGCAATTTAAAAAATCTGCACCAATATAGCCCCAATTATAAACCGATATGATGTTTGAAAAGAGTTTTGTCGATAAATTTACCAGGTAAGTATTTTTTTTCTTTTCATGGGGCCGAAAATGCCCGAGTCCTTTATAAACACTAAAAAGTATATTTGTTGTAGTTCACTCCTGCTCGAAACAATAGGTCATGTAATGGAACCAAATACATAGTGAGAGAAGTATGTTTCTAGGACCTACTAAAGATCTATAAAGTGGATTTCAGCAATATTTGAGGAAAATTTGTTCAGAGAAAGTGTACTTTTCAATGTATTTCAGTGCTAATGGTCCAAGCAAATTAAAACATGTAGATTTGTGTAGCTTGCTAAAACTTAAGTTTACAAAATGAATGATGGCCAAACAGATTTTCCCCAAGAGCCACAAGTCAGATACACACAGTCATATTACAAATTATCATGAAAATGATTACAATACACAGGTCTTTCTATTCCGTCTTTGCATATTGCAGAGTTATCTTCTCTTGTGAGCAGGTATTGATTGTTACGTCATTGGTTTGTGTGAGAAAATTACGTCGTTTTCTCAAAAATTGATGACGTTACTCTCACAAACAAATGATGTAACAATCAATACCTGCTTACAAGAGTAGATAACTCTGCAATACAAAAAGACGGAATACCAATGATGACCACATTTGTAAATCAGTATCTGGTTATGTACAGGATCATAGGTAAGGAAGCTTTCAAGTTCTTCTTCTTGTTTAAAATAGTAATTGTTAATAGCTCAAAATTGTAATTTTTGTTTTAGGAAGTTTAACGAAGTAGTTCTTTTTAATTAGGCGAAAACAGAATGCTTGTTTTATTAGGTACATCAGTCGTTACAGTTATATCATCTGATCTAGTATCACTGTATTAAATGTGATATGATGTTTGTACAGGTAACTGAAGACAAATCATCCACCTTGTGCTGCTGATACTTAACGCATTCATCCCTGAAAACACATTTGAACTCCTCCAATTCAAAAGCTGGAACAGTTCATTATGAAATTTCAGGGATGAATGAGTTAATGAAATGAAAGGAGTCTGGTATTGTATTGCTACAGGCAATTGCATTTCTACAATTACTGATTTGTACAAGTTTTTTGTTTTGCTGTTTTAACCCAAAAACATGTGATTTAGTAACTTTTTATTCTTGTTTTCATCCCGAAAGGACGAGGTATAATAATTTGCTTAAATCACATAGGTCATCTTTTTGTAATGGGGAAACAAATCAAACATGAAAAAAGGGGACGAAAATACATGCTTATTTGCTATACCCTAATCTCCAATCTTTTTGGCTGTAAAAATGTTGTGTTTTTGTTATTCCACAAATAGAACATGAGATTCACGTAACTTCTTTATCTCATGTTTTTCCCTGAAAAGAAAAGAATTAACAGACCTCAATACATTTCTGTTAAATTTGTCTTTTTGGGGCAAAACAATGCAACAACATGCTAACAAAAATCAGCTACTGTATGTTTAACTTTGTGTCACATTTTAACAAATATATCTGAATATGTGTATTAAGAAACAATCGTAAAAGAGAATTTTACCGAGTAGTGAGTTTAACAAACTAATACTGATATTCTGTTTTTTAGAGGCGTATCGTAGACGAGCGTTCCACCTAGTGTCCCAGGCCTACTCCTCAATCAATGCTGATGAGCTGGCTACTTTTCTGGGAATGCCCACGTCTGAGGCTGTGCAAGGTATAACATAACATCATTTATAATTATGTATCAATGATTTTGATGCCCCTGTAGCAAAATGTTACAACAATGTAATATAATTATAGTTTATATTCTAGCTTCAGTTAACTTCTTTGTACCAGCTATTACTTTCTCATTTTCACAGAAATTTTGTTAAAACATCTCACACATTTATGTTCATTCCGGTATTAGCTATAGGCTGAAAGTGTTTTCATCCAGGGTCAAGGCCACAAGTCGAGGTCAAAATTCTTAGCTATATCTGTATTCATTTAGTTCCTTATTACATGTACTATAATTATATAAATACCTACATGACAATCAGTGCTGCATGCTCTTTCCAATGTCAAGGTCATTGATAAAGTCAAAGGTTATAATTCTGTCTATTTCCTTGGTCAACCCTTTACTTCTTTAACAAGTCACTGCTGTAGATACATCATTGACTGATATATAAAAAAAAAATGAGATCTAACGACCGACTAGAAAAAAACAAGCTGCTTTCACATTACCTAGGGCTCTTCATCATAATTATAACCTTTGACCTTTATACATATATATATAAAACAGTGATCACCATAAGACAGTGCTGTGTGTTCTTTCTCAGGTCAGGGTCAAAGGTCACTGTTAACATTAATAATAAGGTAAAAAATAAAATGATTTCATTCTGTCTTAGTGTCAAACTTCAAATCTTGATTTAATTTAGTATATGAAACTTCAAAGAAATAAGCATGAATATCACCACTCTATGGTTTATTTTGTCCCAGCTTTATCCTTCTTTATTACTCTAACCTTTTGCGTGATACGAAAATTTAAAAATTGCTTACTTAGTGGTACACATTTACCTTTGTACCTATTCCCTTTACAGAAATAGTACACATTTACCTTTGGTATCTATTTACTTTACAGAAATAGTACACATTTACCTTGGTATCTGTTTTCTTTACAGAAATAGTACACATTTACCTTGGAATCTGTTTCCTTTACACAAATAGTACACATTTACCTTGGGATCTGTTTCCTTTACAGAAATAGGACACATTTACCTTGGTATCTGTGGCCTTTACAGAAATAGTACACATTTGCCTTGGTATCTGTTTCCTTTACACAGAGATGACACATTTACCTTGGTATCTGCTTCCTTTACAGAAATAGTACACATTTTCCTTGGTATCTGTTTCCTTTACACAGAGATGACACATTTACCTTGGTATCTGGTTCCTTTACAGAAATAGTACACATTTGCCTTGGTATCTGTTTCTTTTACAGAAATAGTACACATTTCCCTTTGTACCTATTCCCTTTAAAGAAATAGTACACATTTACCTTAGTATCTGTTTCCTGTACAGAAATAGTACTCATTTACCTTGTTATCTGTTTCCTTTACAGAAAAAGTACACATTTACCTTGGTATCTGCTTCATTTACAGAAATAGTACACATTTGCCTTGGTATCTGTTTCCTTTACAGAAAAAGTACACATTTACCTTGGTATCTGGTTCCTTTACAGAAATAGTACATAATTACCTTGGTATCTGTTTCCTTTACAGAAATAGTACACATTTTCCTTGGTATCTGTTTCCTTTACACAGAGATGACACATTTACCTTGGTATCTGTATCCTTTACAGAAATAGTACACATTTCCCTTTGTACCTATTCCCTTTAAAGAAATAGTACACATTTACCTTTGTACTTATTCTCTTTACAGAAATAGTACACATTTGCCTTGGTATCTGTTTCCTTTACACAAATAGGACACATGGACCTTGGTATCTGTGACCTTTACAGGAATAGTACACATTTACCTTGGGATCTGTTTCCTTTACAGAAATAGTACTCATTTACCTTGATATCTGTTTCCTTTACAGCATTAGTACACATTTACCTTGATATCTGTTTCTTTTACAGAAATAGTACACATTTAGCTTGGTATCTGTTTACTTTACAGAAATAATACACATTTTCCTTGGTATCTGTTTCCTTTACATAAATAGTACACATTTTCCTTGATATCTGTTTCCTTTACAGCATTAGTACACATTTACCTTGATATCTGTTTCCTTTACACAAATAGGACACATGGACCTTGGTATCTGTGACCTTTACAGGAATAGTACACATTTACCTTGGTATCTGGTTCCTTTACAGAAATAGTACATATTTACCTTGGCCTTGGTATCTGTTTCCTTTACACAAATAGTACACATTTACCTTTGGTATCTATTTACTTTACAGAAATAGTACACATTTTCCTTGGTATCTGTTTCCTTTACAGAAATAGGACACATTTACCTTGGTATCTGTATCCTTTACAGAAATAGTACACATTTCCCTTTGTACCTATTCCCTTTACAGAAATAGTACACATTTAGCTTGGTATCTGTTTACTTTACAGAAATAATACACATTTTCCTTGGTATCTGTTTCCTTTACAGAAAAAGTACACATTTACCTTGGTATCTGTGGCCTTTACAGAAATAGTACACATTTCCCTTTGTACCTATTCCCTTTAAAGAAATAGTACACATTTACCTTAGTATCTGTTTCCTGTACAGAAATAGTACTCATTTACCTTGTTATCTGTTTCCTTTACAGAAATAGAACACATTTACCTTGGTATCTGCTTCATTTACAGAAATAGTTCACATTTACTTTGGCCTCTGCTTCATTTACAGAAATAGTACACATTTGCCTTGGTATCTGTTTCTTTTACAGAAATAGTACACATTTGCCTTGGTATCTGTTTCCTTTACAGTAATAGTACACATTTACCTTGGGATCTGTTTCCTTTACAGAAATAGGACACATTTACCTTGGAATCTGTTTCCTTTACACAAATAGGACACATGGACCTTGGTATCTGTGACCTTTACAGAAATAGTACACATTTACCTTGGTATCTGTTTTTGTGAGGCCTGCAACGCGAGGCGACATATAGGTATTGCTTTGTCAGCGTTGTCATCATCGGCGTTGTCCGAAGTTTCCTTGGGTTGATTGAGCTCAAACTTGGTACACATATTGCATACCAATATAGCTTGGACAACTTTGCATTTCAGAAATTTAGGTGCATTTTTGGTGGAGTAATGTCCCTTTTATTGCCCAATCAGGGCATTGTGTAGTAAATGCAAGCACTTTTATATTTTTAATCAATTCCTTTCAAATTTTGTACACTAATGCTAGAAGCAATAATGTTCAACATTTATTATGGGGGGTTTCTGTCGGGTTTCAACTTTCCACGTTTCAGCATATCTGTTTACGCGATAACTTAAGCCAAAATACTTTTCTTACTAAAAGCGCTGAGCAGATGACACATCCACTCCCGTGGAATTCTTGTGTTTTTTTACAGAAATAGAACTCATTTGCTTTGGTTTCTGTTTCCTTTCTAGCTGCTCAGGCAGAGGGATGGGATGCTGATGTCCACACTCGGTTCATCACACCAAAGAAGCCAGGTAATTAAGGCACCTTTATACTTTAAAAGATACTCTATTTAATTTTTTGAGCTGTTCATTTGTGAACCATCACTTAAATAAGTTTCCAAATGGAAATGATTTTGCTTTGAAAGACATTTAGGACTACTCCTCTTCTTAATGCATTCATTCTTGTTTTACATTTAAAACATGCCAAGCAATATTCATTAAATTGTATTTTGTTTGGCGGAACTGGGCAGGGTCGATTGTTGGCGACCAGGTAGTTCAATTGGTAGAGCGTCCGTCTAGAGTTTGGAGGGTCCCGGGTTCGAACCCCGGTCTGGTCATTACATTTTCTCTTTCTCCTGTTACATTTGTATTGTGTAATGCAGTATTTTTTCTTGAGAGCATTAAAGTTGTGTTCAGTTAATGTTATCACATAGTGTTTTTGGGGTAGTCCTTGAAAAATTTCCTCATCATGAGCATGTGGATAAAATTTAGAGGCCACCGCAGGTGAAATTCAGATTTTATCCATGTGCAAACAATGAGAAAATTGATTGAGCGACAAACCCTGAAAATACTGTGTGATCAATTGTTTATCATCTATATTAAACTACCTAATATATATCACCAATCATAAAAGTTCAACTACATATCATATCTACTAACCAATTTCAAGTGATTGTTGAGATCCATGGTTTTGCACAGGGGAATACCATCAAGTGTAGAACTAGGAAAAACCATATTAAAAAAAAACAATATCCTTGTCATGAGATGCTCACTATGCATATTTTGTCTTAAAATGGAGTTGTTTTTCTCAAAATAGTTTTCCTGATTTTCTAACGATTTGTTTGTGAGGGACTATTGCCTTATGTGGAGCTCTTTGACATGGACACTTTGTCTTGGTCATGATATCACCGAGGCCACTTTCGTTTATCAGATTCAACCAGATTTGTATGTTTTTAAATGTAACATTTTCGGGTATAAATCCTTGCCGATTAGCAAATGTTTCTGCAGGCCTTGCAAGGCTCTGTCAAGGATCGCCTGCCTGAAAGCAGCATCAGATATCTAGGTCCAACCTTATTTCATAAACGAACAAGTCTAGTCCAAACGTTTAGATTGCGATAAATGAACGTGGCCGACATTCTATTTTGAGGTAAAATGGGAATATCCATTCTTAAGTTAAGTCTCATTTTCAATGTTTTTAAAACCCAGAGCCTCTGTGATTGTATCTATGTTTATATTACAGTAGGCGTCAAACCTGATCCGGAGTTCAAGAGTGACCAACAGCTGTCTATACTGACCGACTACGTGTCGTTCCTGGAGAGTTGAGACTGGTAGGTACTGGTAATTATATAAGTGAACAGAAGCTAGACTTGACAATTATTTCTCATTCTTAGATAGTTAGACAGGTAGTCAGGGGTAAATGTCGGATTAGAAAGTTAGAATCCTTTTTTGAAATAGGGGAAAATATGCGCTGTAGGCACATTACCCACTGGTGGAAAGGTTGGCTGCATGCGGGAGCCAGGAGGAGGTACAAGAGGGGGGGCATGGATGACATCTATAAGTTCTGTTTCTAACTGTTCATTATATAATTAGAGACCCTTTGAAGTGACCACTGGATACGCATTAGTATAAAGCGTTTGTGTGACTTATAATGTTAGTAATGGTAAACAAGGCCAGTTGTAAACATTGTCGTAAAATATCGGCAATGAACACAGGGAAAATGAAATAAATAACTCTGTCATCAAACTGACGGAAAATAAAACAAAATAGAACCAAGACAGAGGGGATTTTTGTTTACTACATTATGGGGAAAATGATGCCGAAACTGGAGAGGGAAATTGACCCATATTCTGTCATCAAAAGGCCTATATATATATATTTATAAAAGCAGAAAAATTATCCTTACGGACAAAGAAATATAATAAAAAGAAAAATTATCAACAACGTGTCTTAAGTACTTTCATCTCTTCTAGAAGATTCTTCAGACTGTTTATTTGAAGTATATGTGTGTGTGACGTCATACCGCTATAGCGACGTCTGCTATATACGTACCTGCCATAGCGATATCACAGCAATAGAAATTTATCTCAGCCCACAGTAGGGTTTTCCTTTCTCTTTTTACTTGGTATATTAAGGTATCATTATCATCAACACAGATTTTCTGAATAAATTATTTTGAAAAATTGAAACAATTTACAGTTTTCTGTTTGAGGTTCATTGGAACTGATTTATAAAAAGTTTTGGCCTGTTTATGGGTAAAATCAAATCATGGTCTACCTGGTAAATTATAAAATGTAACTCCGGATTGTTTGAGGATAAATTACATATATTGAACTCTTTACCCTATATTTACTTAAGAAACTGTCTGTGTATGGTTGTATTGAAACAAAATAAATAAGACTGAAATTGGTTGACATTTTTCATTGCTTCTACCTTGTATGTCAGAAGAAAAAAAAAATATTTCATAGAAATTTACTTTTTTTTTCTCCACAATATTTAATTTCTTGGCACATAATTATAATATATTTGCACATTGTCCTTTTCTGTAGTTGAATTTTTAAGAGCCATATAAAGGAGCGTATAGTTCCCTTAGATGTGGCCTTGAGGCTGAAATTTAAGAAATGAAATTACAAATGCTATACAAAATCATATTTATTTCTAAAATCCTTTTTTCTTTTCCGATTCAAAGGAAGGGGTTGAGGAGACACCTGCTTGCTTCATAGAGGTGTGACCTTCCATGGCGTCTTGTACACAGCAGTGCTTCACCACGTATCTGGAATGCATCAAACATCACTGTGGACATATGTACAGGACTTAGAAAAACTCAGTCACATTAATATGAAGCTTGTATTATATTTAATGTAAATTTTGCATTTACGAGAAGAAAAGTTCACTCCGTGATGAAAATTGCACTTAGACTAAATGTCTAAATATATATGTAGCTTTACTTTGCTAGATACGTTTACTATTGAATTGAATTTGTAGATTCCATGTATTGTTAAATTGCAAAAATAAAACTGCCACTTAAATCGATTTGTGAAGAGCCAGATACATGGACTTCTTTGTACAGTACACTGATATTGATAAAAAGTCATGGAAATTGACTGCAGGGTTTTATATCACAAAATCTGTTTCACAGATATTGTGATTTCCAAAATGAATTCAGTGAAAGAGTACTAGTATTTATGTAGTGCAGACTTTTCAAGATTTTCTATGATGTCGAACGTGGAATCATTTCTCCAATGAACGCAGTATTTAGATATACGGTATATGGATGGACCGGCGTGCAAGATTTGTGTAACTTAAACTATGTGAATGTAAACAAAATAAATATAAAAACATTTTTTTTATGTATTAGATGTATTTTGTTATATATTTTGTTTCTGTGAACAGAGTGGAAATAGGTGGGAACAACCTTTCAATTCCTCTTATTTAAGAGAATTCAAACCAACACTCAAATTCAAGTTTTACTTTTAATGAAACTTTAAAGCTTACATATTCGAGCAATGTTAAACAAACAGTGAAAAGCAGAGTGATCTAGCCTTTAGCAAATATGCAACGTCTGATAATATAAGTAGATGCTTGGAAACAACTTTTGGAATCATAAAACTGTAAAGTTGCAATAAAATGCTTGACGACTATCCTCCGTTGATCCTGATAGCTTACAATTACGGTAGAGTTTTGACTGATCGTTGATTGTATTAAGGAGTTTTGTGTTATCATCGTAGCAATATGAAGGTGCCGACACGAGTGTAATAGTACAGGAGTCACGCACTGTTGTACTGTAGTAGTTTAACATTACACCCACCAAACACTGCCCACAGGACATCCTCCCTGTCTACACCTACATCACATGTCCAGATTGTGTCCGTGTGTATGATCCTGAGGAACTCACCACGTCCACTGATGAGTAGGACTCTGTTGTTGTTACAGTCCGCTATGATAATGTTCCCCACACTGTCATACACCACACCCCGGGGGTTAAATGGTTGAGCTCCTTTCTGTGATGATTGTTTATATGTACTGGGTATGTCACCTCTGTATACAAACAGTTCCTTTAAATCAGTGTCCATAACAATAACATGTGGTATCCCATCACCACCACCTCTCTTATAATTACAATCAACCACTGCGACAGTGTGAGTGACAGGACACTCTGAAATCCACCGTGGTGAACACACTAATGGCTTCCAAGTCCCTGTAGAACTTGTAGTGAGTACCATTTGACCTTGTGTGGTAAATTTGGAGATGTGTTCGGTCATCCCAACAATGACATGGTTACTGGCAGTAACACAGATACACATGGGTCTCTCCTTGGTGCTGAATCTGTTTGTTAGTCGTCCTGATACCAGCTCCGTGATGTTGTGTTCTGCGTCACAGACCCACAGTGTGTGTGTTGTTGGTGACAGACTTATGCTGTTGATGTTAGCTTTTTGTTTAACCTGCTGTATTACTCTCCCGTTCCTGTCCAGGAGAGTTAATGTGTTACTGTTAAAACTGGTCCACACCTGACCATCAGTGGTGGGGCATATAGAAGTAATACCAACAGGAGACTCCCACTCCTCCAACACTTTGGTCTGTAGCAGTTGTTTGTACATAGTCACTGCCTTCTTTCCTTTTGGTTCTGACTGTTGTGATGTAGAGGACGGTTTCTGACCACCAAATGGTGTAACAGAAGTATAGTCCTGGTCAACTGAAGCTTGACCTTCACGTGATATGTCAATTGTCCCTAAGGCCAGTTCTAGGTGATGCTTAGGATTTTTGTTTGGAGTGAAGCTGGCAGTACCCAGGACAGGTTTTACAGGGAGATTTGTTTTGATACTGCATCCTGCATCGTAGATTTCTATGTTAGAGCCACGCTGAAGTGCTGACTTGCATTCCTGTACTCGTTGTCCGAGTTGCTTGTTGCACATTTCCAGGTCCTGTTTGTATGTTTGTTTCAGCTTGGCATTATCCTCCTCCATTTTCTGATAAAGAGAGAGTGTCTGTGTTGTAAGTAAGTCGAGGTCTTGTTTCAACTGATCCGTTTGCGTTTTCAACTTGTGTGATAGATTCTCAAAATTGCTGGTGTTGTCTTTAAGAAGTGTATCAGTAGATGTGATATATTCCCGAAGTTGTACCAGGTCATTTTTTTCGGTCCTTTCAATAAAGTTTTGAATGTCTTGTTTCTTCTGAGAGGTAATTTCGTTGAGTTCACAAACATCATGACCTTTGTGAATCGTCGACAAACATTTGAGGCAAACAAGTGTGTCGCACTTTTCACAGTAAAGTTCTAGTTGTCTACCCTTGTGCTCGATACAGCGTGTCTGACCTTTCTTACGGAAAGGAATTTGACCTATGGGTATCGCCATGTTAATGAATTAAATGAAGCATGGGTGATCCCAAACAATTTGCCGTTTATTAGTATACTGCTTACTTGAATATATTAGAGATTGTTCTGGAGAAGAAAATTCTGATCTTACACCGAGTTTTACATTAAGCAATCCAAACGATAGTTACCTAATAGGGCCTAATCACTGATTTAGGCACCAAGACAACGAATCAAATTTTTCCGTTTCCAAACCTCAGAATATCGACGTCAAGAAGATGATCAGCATTGTAATACCCTGCCAGATTAATGTTCCTCTTTTGTTGATACAAGATTTGAATCGGAGATTTCCATTCCAAGCCTCAGAATGTACATGTATTGTCATCGTCTATATCCACAGAATTAAAACCACAGCTTGGTAAAACAAATTCTCTGCTCATGTTGTAAAATCTCCTGGTTTCTGGTTGTCGATGGAGTAATTAGTTTTTTAATCGAAGAAAATACATTCGTTCACTGTCTAGGTGTCATTGTTAATACAAAGTCCAAACTGGATACACCTACCCGGTCAGTATATAGTCGAGATGATATTACTTCCTTGTTGTGCGAGGATGCCGACAGGCGTGCAGAGAATAGAATTAGGGTAGATTGTACAGAAGGTCATTGTAGGTCGTGTTTACAGACCGTGGTATTTATATACCACAGTTCACCTCAGTGTCCGATATAGTTATATGTATATATTAGCATAGGTAACAAGACAAACCTATGGCAAGCCAGTTTAGCATTTCCTAATGTCCACAGTCATTTCGAAACTATTTTAGAGTTAAATCACGGACTTAGATAATCTAATTCCGTGGTTAAATGAAATAGAAACATATTGAAATACATAACATGTCTTCAAATGTAATAGATTATATGTATTTCAGATATGTTATTTAATAGCAATATCTTGATATGAAATATCGATATCTCTAAATAAGATATGCTTTTGAATAAGAAATAAATATTTCATTAAAATATAACCTGAACATAAAATCTGTAATAGATATACATATTTTAATAGAACAATGATATATCTGTATGAATTAAAGATATCTCAATATATCAATGAATTAAAGATAGCAAAGTTAATTAAAATATATGTAAATTCAATAACGATATCATTATAAATTGAAAATATCTTATAATATATTAAAGTTATATACATGAATTAAATATATACTTTAAATGCCTTAAAAATTATATATAAATACCTTTCAGTGTATTAGACATATATCCTATAATTAGGATAGCTGTTTATTTTTTAGATGTATCTGTTATGAATAAGATATATCATAAATTAACATGCAAATCTCAATACGCTTATGCGATATCTCCTAAAGTTCATTTTAGTACAATTATTTTATTAGGTACACGAGTAACATTTAAAGTTGGCTTGTCATAAAAACCCTACCTGTGTAGGAAACACCTGCATGTTATGCATGTTAATGCCTATTCAGGTCACAAAGTACTTTACTACGTACTTTTGTATAGGAAAAAACAATGTTTCTAAACATATTAGCGTAGTATAGTTTTTAAGGTGTGGTAGAGTGTGGATAGTACGTTGTTTTTCGTGTCTAACGTTATATATACGCGATTTTTTTTACACATCGTCAGTTTTCGGTCCCGGTTCATAAGTTCATAAGTTTATTGGCCTTTAGCCTTTCGGCTAATCAGCATAACCATTACAACACATTTTACAAAATTGAGTGAGTGATACACAGCAATACAGACATACTTTACTATATCCTAAGGTAAAAACGCATGTAAAATACAGTTATACGTTGTTGAAATTTACTTTAATACTTTCAACAACATTTTTTCTTCCAACCCTGGGGACAAAAGGAAACGCACCGGTACATCATACTACCTGTACGTGTTAGTTGGATGATCGTTTACAAATGTCATTTGGCCATGACATTCCCTATATTGTGAAAGATGAGTCTCATTTCCTTTGTGACTGTCCTGTACATATAGTGATATCAGATATGACCTATTCAAAAACGCATTGAACTCCTTTAGTTATTTTAATCAGGGACAGTATATACGTCCCTGTTTTAATGAACTTACTTCAACTGAAAATTGTTTCATTTATTGCAGGATAATGCGCTTCAATTTTCACTTTCTCAAACAATTCATTTTATGATGAGACGGAGGCGGTCGCTTTTGAATGCGGAAATATTCAATTGTAAATTATAATGTATCGCAATATTGACTAACTGTAATGAGATGAAAGATATGTGATTCTACTATTTTATCAGTTTTTTTACATGTAATACTCTATGGGGATATTTTATAGGCATACTACAAATAGTTATAATTGTCTCATAAGCCGATATCGGCTGGGCATCTGATTGTTTGTGAATTTAATGATGCGTGACACTATAATAAAATATTGATTGATTGGTAACACCTCTGAGTAGTCCGAATTATTCTGACGTTTTATCGACTTGTAAAAAAAAAGTCGATAAAAAGTCCGAATATTTCGGACTAACTTCTGAGGTAATCAGTTCTCCTGTGAATGCACAGGTAGGTATTTTTTTGGCTATAGTATTAAGTGGTAAGAACTACAGGTAATTAAAATGCCTTTTAATTCACAGGTAAGATATTTAGGCGAGTAAACTGTGTATTACTATCCCTCAGCTAAAAGTTAGTGTACATTGGATGTCGTTGATGTACACACGGAATTAGATTTCCGTGATTCACGCTTGAATTTATAACTTTTTTTTCCGGAGAATTAATGTCTCGTGGTCAACTAGAGAGTGATCAGCTCATAGCTATACAAAACAGAAAACCATTTCTTAAATCAACATTATTCTTTTGTGAATGTTTCATTACCGTTTTATTCATTAGTCAGACTAAGGGACAAACATTTCATTTTAAAAACGCACTAAAAGTAACAGCCTGAAACTTGCATAGGCCTTGGTTAACTCCGCCCATATCTACTGTTGATGAAATCACAGGGTTGTGAGTTGGTATCAGGACAACTAGCACACAGATTCAGCACCAAGGAGACACTCAGGTGTATCTGTGTTACTGCCTGTAACCATGTCATTGTGGGGATGACCAAACACATCTCAAAATTTACCACACAAGGTCAAATGGTGCTATAAGCTGTTCACTCTCCAGTTGACCATGAGTAAATTAAATAGACAACACACCCATCAAAGTGATCTATGATTTTACTCTCCAGTTGACCATGAGTAAATTGAATAGCATCCTCGATATCCAGAGTTTACGCTCACTTTTGCTCTCTGCACCCCTGGAATATGTCATAGCAAAATTGAAGGCATGAAGATAGCTGTTTGATTGGTCTCGGGTAAAATAAACTGACCTTTGAAGATTACGAAGGAGAGACACCCGACTTCAAAGCCTGTCAATTTTTACCTTTACATGACCGCGAGATTCTCTTGATGTTCATCAAAGGTTTGAACTTGTCTTCTTGTCTCATTAACAAGGTGGCGCACACCGAGCCTTCAATTTTGCTGACATATTCCACGGTGTAAAGAGCGAAAGTGAGCGTAACCCCTGGATATCGAGGATGATTGAATAGATGACAAACCCATCAAAGTGATCTATGATTTAACTCGTGTTCAGCTGGAGTTTGAACCTCCTAACCGTACCAAAATTGAAAGTTATTCTTTAATTAGCCCGCGCTGGACATCAGTTCACGTCTGATTAGTTGCTTGATAATTTGTAGTCGCATTGTTCCAAAAACATTTTATATTAAGTGTCATATGTATGTTTATCAATACTAACAACATGGTATGTATTGTTTTACTGCTGGAGTCCCAAACCCATTTTTATTTAGAGATATTATATACACAATAACATATTTTACACTGAAATGAAAAACAAGCGACCAGGTATTACCTGGTATTATCTCATATAAAGACAATCTTAAATATGAACCAAGGTCAAATAGTATTACCACCATACTTAGTTATTTACTGTTAAAAGATTATTTTTTTGGCCCCTGTGACCTTGAAAATGGTACAAGGTCATTTATTTAAACCAACTTTATGTAATGCACATGATACAGTTAGGGTAAGGTTCAGAATTCTTCACAGTTTTGACGATGAATTTGCTATTCATAAAGAAAGTTGAACCAACTACGTAGATTTGCATTTAATGAAAAAATGCACACCATCCATCTACTAATAGCGGGCTGGGAAAAAAGACGAAATCGACGACAGAATTTTTTAGATGAAATTGACGCATAAACAACATATTTATTAAAGGTACATACTTTTATTCATTGAATACTGAATGACAATGAATTCAGCTCATCACTTATTGAATTCATGGGTATAAAATGTCACGAAACATAAACATAAGCAGTTCAAACAGCACTGGATACTGAAATACATTGCAATTCTACCCTCTTCATAACTGTTCAAATAGTTCCAAACAGTTGGGAATTGAATATGAATATGAAACTTAACGAAACAGGTCTATTTCACTTCAAGAACCTAAACAAATTGTTAAAGAGAGCCTACCAACTTTTTTCTGGCAATAAATCATTATTGGGTAGGTTGAAATCATTTTGTTTAAAAAAACTTTTGAACTTCCACAAAAAGCGATCAGTGAAATAAAATAAAAAAATTGAGCACCTGAAGTTTACTTGAGTAATTAATGAAATATTATTTGTAGATATAAATTTCACGGAGATTTATCATTAATCAAGGAAAGTTTATAACCCAGTTCACCAGTGGCAGATTATGCTGCAGCTCCGGGGGAGCCTCCCCCTTTGGCTCTGATTTTTTATTTATTTTTAATTTCATCAAAAAGGACCTGAAGGATGAGAGGCATGCTAATAAAGGTATGAATTGTTAGCTTCTTTCTTTGAGAAATCCTTGAACAGCCTTGTGTTAAGACATCATTTTCATCTGTATCTCCCGTACAATAATCATAAAAAAGATAGTTTCATGAAACTTCATTGAAAGAACATAATTAATATAAGGTCCCAGTCTTATTATGAAAGTTTGCTGAAAAATTGTAAATAGACCTTCAAATTCACACTTACTTAAATACTTCAATTATATTTACATTGATGCAAAATTAAACTCCACTGGTCAATGAAAGTTCTGCACCAAATTCTTTAAAAAAAAAATCATATATGATCAAGGAGAGGCTATTTAACCCATTTACCCCTAAACTCACATTGAACCTTACCAAATCAAAGTCTGGGCAAGTCCAGTTAAAATATGAAGGGGTGAATGAGTTAAAGATTCAACAAGAACTTTCCATTTCCTGATTTTACCCCAGGGAAGGGCAGCAATGGCCAAGTGGTTAACATGTCTGAATGTTTACGATCACTAGCCCTCCATCACCGGGTCCCATGTTCGAGGCCTATCCCTGACTACTGGCCACAGGTCAGTGGTTTTGTTTTTCTACAAGTACTCCAACTTTCCTCCATCACCAAAAATTGGCATGTCCTTAAATGGTAAGTGGTTTTGTTTTTCTATGGATACTCTGGCTTTTCTTTACGACCAAAACCTGGCACATCCTTAAATGTCCATAGTGGTTACTAGGACGTAAAACACAAACAAACAGAATCAACCTAATCTACCCTGGGGAAGCCACACAGTTTATCACAATGAATTCCATTGGTTTATGGATGCTTTATATTTGATATAAATATCTCTTCACAAATGTTTCAAATTTAGTCAAAATCTGGACGAGAGTTATGGACTACCGAAGACAGATAAGGTAGGATTTCACACCATGATACAAAATGTAATTACCGGTATTCACCTTTCAGGTATTCCAGAAATCAAAATTGTTACAAATATAATCTTTGTAATACACAGGACATAAAAGATGTCTACCTTTGATAGTCTGTAATAGCGACGGCCAATTAAATACTGTTTTAAACAGATTTGGTTTTTTAATCATATACTTTTATTTGAGATTAATGCCAACCCCATAAATGGTTTTGGAAAATTCTTTTTATATGTATCTACAAAAATGTTTTTGAAAACCCATTTTTTGTACTTTCTCTTTGCCGACGGATGTTCCATACCAAGTTTTGTAAATATTTCTTCACATATACTTCAGGCGATGTCATGACAAATATTTGATTTTATCAAATTGGGTCATTCTGATAAAGAATTTTTAGTGCTTCTTATTATAATAAATTAGTTATCTAGTTCTTAAAAGAATGCAAAATAAAATAAGACACTTGTTTACATGCCTACGTAAGCTTAAGGGAGATTTGTACAATGGGGGAGTAAAGCTTTAACTGTCAAAGTGGGACCAGCTGTGTGAGGTATATAACTATCCTACTGGCAGCCACATTTAGTAAGTACACAAATCCTTGGAAACACTCCTGATGCTGATATTTCAAAGCTGTTACCACAGCCTCCAAAACCTCTGCAGAAAACAATCTGCATCTGTCGTGGTCTATTTGGTGCATCTCCGAGCAGGTTTTCAATGTCTGTAGAAAACAAATCTGTTCGTCTCTAAACAGCCATGACAGTTTGAGATCTGTCTGTACGGCTATGTCTGTTTCACACGTTTTCTGGGGAGATTGGATGCGTGAGCATGCATTTTCAAACGTAGTCTTTGTTTAGAGTCAGTTGACACACGGAAGCCTGCCAGTCATAACGAAAATACACTGGCTAGCCAATATCTTCAATAAAATGAGGAGAATGCATGTTACCATGGTAATACATGCACTAGGCAGCTATAAATAGTCTCTATGACAACTGGAAACCTACACAGGTTACCATGGTAACACATTGGCCAGCCAATATAAGTCTCTATAACAAATGGTGACATGCAGACAACCCTGTTATCACACTAGCCAGCCAACAGCCTCAGTCACATGCAGGAACTGTAGGTTTCCATGGTTACACAGTGGGTGTCCAATAGTCTTGTAGCACATTATAAGCACACACTGTTACCTAGCAGCGTACATCTGTATATAGTCTCTCACTTTACTCTTGAATGATTCCTGTAAAAGAATTACATACAAATTAAGCATGCAGAACAATCTTAATGCACAGCCTAATAAGTTTTGTTCCAGTTTTTTCAAATCAACTCCTTCACAAGGAAGAACTTGTACATCAATTAAATATCTTATAACAATTTATATGTGTCATCTTAAAAACTAACTTCGTCACAACAAACAATTTATAAGTGTCATCTTAAAAACTAACTTTATCACAACAAACAATTTATAAGTGTCATCTTAAAAACTAAATTTGTCACAACAAACAATTTATATGTGTCATTTTAAAAACAAACTTCGTCACAACAAACAATTTATATGTGACATCTTAAAAACTAACTTTTTCACAACAAACAATTTATAAGTGTCATCTTAAAAACTAAGTTTGTCACAATAAACAATTTATATGTGTCATCTTAAAAACAAACTTCGTCACAACAAACAATTTATAAGTGTCATCTTAAAAACTAACGTCGTCACAATAAACAATTTATATGTGTCATCTTAAAAACAAACTTCGTCACAACAAACAATTTATAAGTGTCATCTTAAAAACTAAATTTGTCACAACAAACAATTTATATGTGACATCTTAAAAACTAACTTTATCACAACAAACAATTTATACGTGTCATCTTAAAAACTAAATTTGTCACAACAAACAATTTATACGTGTCATCTTAAAAACTAAATTTGTCACAACAAACAATTTATAAGTGTCATATTAAAAACTAACTTTATCACAACAAACAATTTATACGTGTCATCTTAAAAACTAAATTTGTCACAACAAACAATTTATACGTGTCATCTTAAAAACTAAATTTGTCACAACAAACAATTTATATGTGACATCTTAAAAACTAACTTTATCACAACAAACAATTTATATGTGACATCTTAAAAACTAACTTTATCACAACAAACAATTTATATGTGTCATCTTAAAAACTAACTTTGTCACAACAAACAATTTAACTAGCTTTACGACTAAACAATTTTTACCATTAAATTTTGTTATAACACACAGATAGTTATATGTATATATTCTAATATTTTTCATAAAACAAGCAAACAACTTGTTTGACTCGCCTTAAAACTTTAAAACAAACTACAAAACAACATGTATGTGTAGCTACATATGTATTAAACTAACTTTGTTTAACAGAAAATAATATGACTGTAAATTCTAATAAAAAAAATTCAAGCAAGCAAACAACTTGTGTGACTCTAACTTTACAAAATAACTTTATTTCATCAACTGAATATGTGTATGTGAAGTTAGGAAGCTTACTTTGTTGCGTGAATAGTGATCGGCAGCATCTACATTGAGTGGGTCGTCAAAATTGAGTAAATCCTAGGGAACGACAAACAAATAATTCGTTAAATTCAGAAACACAAGATACATTCATAATTACACATATTCATAGTTACAAAACATACAGAGTACAAAATTTAACAGGAAATTCATTGAATCCCGGTTGACTTTTATTTTCAAAATGCACCCTAAAACCCCCAGACAAGAGGCCAAAGGGGCCTGAATACCTCCGGATCCCCGTGCTTTAATTTAACTTTGCTATATCTAAAATGGACAAATTATCTACAAAACCTTATTTGATTCTGTGATATGGATTTACATATTCCTCTATTTTTATTGAACAGTAAAAAGTTGTCAAACTATTCGTCTGCAGTAGACTGTTGAATATTTAAGAAATAGTTTGGTTTGGTTTTATTTTGTTTAACGTTCTATCATTAGCTATAAGGTCATCTTAGGACAGGTCTCTATGTGTGTTATTTTGATAAAAGGGTTTAATTAGTCATTTTTTAGGTAAAAAGTCCTGGATAATTATAAGAAAAGAAATTTTATACTTCTGTCAGTGAATTTTTGTTATGCTTAATATTGTTTTTCTTTCAAATGATTTACTTTGCCATTGCAAGGGAGATAATATATGAAAGAAACAACAGAGTAGTCTCCGCTTGCTATACAAACTAAATCCCCTTTCACATATCCTGTTTAACTGGTTTGTCTGTTTTTAAATGCAAAACTTTCGGGTATAAATCCTGGTGGACCTGCAAATATTTATGCAGGCCTTGCAAGGCTTTGTGAAGGCTCACCTGAAACTGAAAGCAGCATCAGATCCCTATAACGTCCAGCCTATAATTTTATACAAATCTGATCCAACTGTTTGGATCGCAATAAACAAATGCGGCCTAAGTCTCAATACTGTGTGTTTTGTAAATGTGCATCTATTATGGTATCTACCACATTTTGTCTAATACCAGCTTATCTTAAATGCTGTATGTAATGCCTCGTGTGGGCCCATATTTGGGAAAAAATATCTTTTATCTTGTATGTTGTACTATAAATAAAATAAATAAATATACAACATTTGATATAGCGCCCTATCTAGCTAACATAAGCCACTATAAAGCGCTTTACAGTACATAGATATACAATTTATCTATACTGTGGATTTTAATTTTCTTTATGGCAATCAGGTTTTGGCGATTAGGTAGACCCTTCCGACAGTGATGTGTTGTGCATCGATAAAATATTTGGAGATCTCGGGTATTGGTTTCAAATTTCGGATACCCAGGGTGGAAATATTATACCCACAATAGCCCTAACATTTATATACAGATTAAGATAGATAATTGATATGTAAAGAATATGTTGATTTCAGAACCATTGAAATGTGAAAACTCAACACTGCAATTGGTTTAAAGAGCCATAACATGAATATTTCCACATGCAGGAATTCTCGCTTTTTCAGTATATATGGACACATCTCCATGAAGGATTATGCATACAATAGTGTAATACATGTACGTACAGAAAATAAAGAGTTGAGACCCCATATCACATCTTTGAGTCGTCTTGTGGGTGCCCAACCTGTAATAAAACAAACATGAGGAATTATGGTAGAACAATTGGTCACGTGACTTGCGTCATTTGATGTAATTGCATCACATGACGTTGGCCAATTACAGTTATAGATTGTTTGAAAATTATCTAAATACAGCAGACATGGGGTAGAAATTTGACAAAAGTTGTAAGCCTTGGCTTAAAGTATACTATTTACAGGAAAACGTGTCTATCAAAAATATGTTTTTGTGGAGAGTTTTTTGTCTTAAACATTTGCGATCTATGGCATGCCATTGTGTCACAAACAGCAAAATCATAATTTGTAAAAATGCAGACAATCAACTACTTCAACTTTCCATTTTTAACAAGTATAATTAGTTACATGTTACTGAAAGACTACTGTATACCAGGACATTTTCACCCAGTCGAACTTTCACCCTTCGCACATGAAATAAGTGTTCGTCCAGTGTTAATTTTGCCCTTCACGTTCAATTTCTACGTTTATTATCATGTTTACTTAAATTCGCTGCAGTGATCAATTAACCCTCATTATCGAAGTCGAAAAAGGCAAAATCAAACTGCAGCGAAACTTTCTCGGTATTAATTATACCATAATACTTTAACTCATTCACCCCTCAAATTTCATAATGAACTATTTCAACTGTTGAATTGGAGGAGTTCAAATGTGTCTTCAGGGGTGAATGAGTTAAAGAGCACTGTCACCAGCCTCGAAATAGCTCAGCTTATGAAAGTCAAATAATCCTGCCAAGATTCAGCAGGTCTCGTCAGACCATTATCAATGATTTCATAAAACAAGAGGCCCGGAGGACCTGTATCACTCACCTGGATATTGAAGCAATCATGGCAAAATATTTTAATTAAATATAATACTGCAGGTATTTCCTAATTTTGGTTTGTCTTTCAGCATACAGTCCAGGATGTCTCTTAATAGTTTAAATGATCAGTGAATAATTTTGGCCAAAGAAGTCTCTGATATAACGATACACACTTACTTCATTCTCAATACTCCAGATGTTTTGCTCACTTACACTCTCTGAAACTCTGGAATATGTCATAATCAAATCCAGGACTCAGTGTGCACGACCTTGTGGATGACACAAGAAGACTTGTTTATCCTTTGATGTACATCAAAAGAATCTTGCGGTCACATAACAGTAAAATTGACAACCTATGAAGTCGAACATCGTTCCTCTCAAGTCTGTAATCTTCACAGCACAGGTACCAGACTAGTGATTGGTCAGTTTCTTTTTACCTGAGACCAATCAAATAGCTAGTTGCATGCCTGCAATTTTGCTATGACATATTCCAGGGGTGTTAAGAGCGAAAGTCAGTACTTACCTAGACTGTCGTAGGAACTTTGTCGGAGTAAACTTAGACAAACTTCACCATCCTCGTTGATATTAGGGTGCCATATTCTTGTACTACATACAACTATTGGGGGCTACAACAGATTATAGTATACAACTGATGATGCCTACTGTATATACACAACAGTAACACGGATACTGTAAATAGAACATTAGACTTTATTCAGAATGTTTAGAATAATATTGATTATAAATGCTAAATTTGTTTTGTACACAAGCAGTTATTAAATAAAAACTTTTTATTGGAGCTTTCACAAACATCTGGGTTTTTTTATGTCAAAGAAAAATATGGGGTCATAAAGATGACTCAGCTTTCGTGATGTTCCAGTTTATGATGTGGTTGTGTATGTTACATGTGTAGCATGGTCTGTTATGGCCGTTTTATTGTATTGACTATTGTTTCTCCAGTGTACATGTCTTCCTTGTATTTTCTGTTTTAACATCTACTAATGAGAGAATTATGTAAACATATTTCACTCCCTCTGATATCATTTTGACAGCTGCCGATGCTTACTCAGCACATTGTGTCTTAGTAAGGTATTTTTCAGTAGTAGAGTCAAAACATCGGTCATTTGTATTCTTTAATTGACGAATTCGAGAGGAGCCTAAAAGAACATCAGAAAGACGTTGACACCATGAAACATCAGGTCTACACAAGAAATAAAAAGAATACATTGGAGAAACATAGAACAAATCAGCCATTACAGACCATGCTAACATACACAATCACATCATAGACTGGAACAACTCTTAAAAGCTTGAAAGATCAAAGAATACATCTTCATTCTTGGATAGGAGGGAAAGGGAATTGATAAACAGAGACGAGGGGGAGCACCAGCTGATCATCTTTATGATGCCATTTTAACATCCACTAAGGGACAGAATGGGTGGGCATATTACCCGTCCCTCTGACTGCCTGTAGCATTGAGTGTTATTTGGTCAAAACGTCTCTATCATTATGATAACTGACTTTCAATTTACTGACTTGGTACATTGTCACTTAGTGAGTTGTTTTCAATGTAGGACTAATATAAATACCCGGCCTTCCCTGGCTGGGTATTAAATCAATCCCATGCCTTGTAATGGAGCAAGCGATTTTAGAATAAATTGACAGCACATTGGTCTGCATTGACAAATAGGGTTGTAGTATGAACTATTTCTGTTGATATCCTGTATAACTTGAAGTTAAACTCTCTCTAAAATGTTGTTAAATTTTCAAGTAAACGTAGCAAGCGCAATTGAAATCTGAGTTGACCGCCATGTTGGAAAGTTCGTCTCTCTTCCGATATAGATCAGACGTCCAAATATGGGTGTCATGACCCAATATTGAAATAATAGTTAACATGGCGGCATCAGTAGTAATACTATATTTGGCCATGCAGGCCATATATACAAAGGATAATTGAGATAACATCAAGCATGATCTGTCATGGCGGTCGTTTCTATATTTCCCAAAAGACAGACTTGGCTAAATTTGTGAAAGAGTATTTTGCATTATTGATTGATAATTATAAGGATTCGTTTTTTTAACAATTATGCAATATTTTGATAACATTATACTCATGTAAGACACGAATTATATGTAATCTTACAGATGAGCGCTTTTGATTTTGCTCCATTAGTTTGCATAGGACCGCTTTGTAGCTCTGACGACGCAATATATAAAAACATCTCTAGTAGTCAGAAAGCTACGTTATCGCAGCTTTTTTCAATGGTAAAGAGTCAAAGACACTTACACTCTTTGCTTGACAAAGAAAACAGATGATTTTGAAAGCTCGCAAAATAAGTTATCAAAACAACACAAGAGATTGCTGAATCGTGAACTAAGCTGTAATTAGAACAAGGGAAATATTACGAACCTTTAGAAAATATTTTTATGGAGACCTTTGAAAAGTACAAGGAGAATAAAACATACCTCTGCCCCCAGGGGGTCCAAACCCAACATTTATACAAAATGAGTCTCCTTGGCCCAAGGATGCTCCAGACTAAATTCGGATAAAATCCTGCAATCCCTATATATGGTAGGAGATCTAAGGATTTCAAAGGTTTTACCTCTATTTCCCTTATTGGGCCCCCCTTCTATGACCCCGGGGGGGGGGGGCACACCTACATGTACCATTTATTCAAAATTGAACAGGGGGGGATGACGCTAAGTGAAATTTTATTCAAGTTAACCATGTCATTAATTAAAACAATCAAGGGCTATGCTTAAAGCTGACAGTCACACTTTAAAAAGAACAACAAGAATCAAACTTACCACTATATTATAATCCTCAGGTATATCAACATTAAACAAGAATTTTCCGCCATGCCAGAATCCTTCATCGGGGGTGATGGTCAGAGAAAAAATATGGAGCAGATTTGGGTTACCAAAGTTTACTTTACATGTCTTGGGCAGGTTCTCTTCCATTTCCTGGACCTCTGTAGGGGAGATAGCATTCATGTCAGTAACAAAATATATGGTTAATATATACATACATGTTGTATCTATCTATGTCTTTCCCTTTCTCTCTTCTCTACCATTTCATTTTGGCTGTGTTTCTCTATAGCTAGGCACATATATAATAATAATAATAATAATTTGAGGTTCTTATATACCGCTTTATCACAACCTAGTTTGTAGGTCGTCTCAAAGCGGTTCACAAATTATTATCCATGGTTATAGGGCCTTTGCAACCAGCCAATACCTTTCTCAACTCCCTGGGGAGCATACAGCTGGAGCTGCCATTTCAGCGGTAACAGCTAGCATTCAACAATTCTAGCACAACCATGTACTCATTTACAGACTGGAACAAGCGGAGTAAAGTATCTTGCTCAAAGATACAACACAGTGCCGTGACTAGAACCTGCAACCCTTCGGTCACGAGCCCGGGGTCCTACCACTAGACTACTGTGTCTCACATGTGGCTTCATAGCAACCTAGAGTACAATGTTAAACCCCAAACAAAACAAAAACATAGTATCCACATCAAAACCCTGTATACTCATACAGAACTGGTATTATAATGTTCTTATATCAAGTACTACTACATGTATATAATTGTACACTTGGTTGTTAGCTAAATGAAAGGATATATATATCACTTGTTAATTGCTAAATGATCAAAGGCTTAAATGTCAACTGCTTGTGGCATCCTATTCTTCATTAAGGAAAAAGTGTACTAGTGTGAAATAAAAATAAATAAAAAATCATTTAACTCAAGACGGACACTTTTCTTAAAAATAGTAAAGAAAAATCTTCCATAAGGAACATTTAAGTTTATTTAAAATCCATTTTTGAAAAATAAACCCAAAGGAATGAAGTCTCTGCACAAACATACTAGTACTGTTATCGTAACTTTTTTCTTGTAACCATCATTTATTTTTAAAAATCTACATTATCTTTTAATATTGTTTCACATTTCTGATGAACAATTTCTTTCCATCTGTTCTGATATGGATATATATAGAAGCATAAACTGTTCCGCATTAAGCTTCCCCACATCATTTTTTTGTCTGATCACTGTTGACAATATATGCCCATATAGCATGACCAATATTGAAATCTTACCCTTTACTAGGAGTTTGTCCCGGATTGATATCCTTTTGATTTCATTGGTCTCCTTTTTCACTGGTGTCTGTTGTTTCAATTTCTTGGACAGTGTAATCATGACTCCCTGTAAACACATCAAACAGTATCAGGAACATTAAACTGCATTGCCAGACCGGGGTTTGAACTCTAGACGGACGCTCTACCAATTTATGTATCTGGTCGCTGACGATCAACCCAGTCCAGTTCCACTACATGCCTCCCTCCTTTTCGCCCCTAAAGACACAATTATTTACAACCCAGGTTCAGGTATCCCCTTGCCAAATGTACACCCATAGCTTTGAACAAGGGTTTAATCCTAACCCTCCAAACTCTAGACGGACGCTCTACCAATTTAGCTTAATATATAAAAAAAAACAGTCAAGTTCCGCTACACTCATCTAAATTTAATCTGTGGTATCCACTAACATTTATAACCAAACCTTCAAAATGGCCCAGAGCCTCTAGCTCCATGCCATATTGTTTACCATACTGTAGAACAAAAATGATATTCAGTTATGGACTTCGGGTGAGGTCTATTTGTGATGTATAAACCTGTTCTGAGCATTACTCATTGAAATCAAATAATGCTCAGACCAGGGCCTGCATTCATGAAAACCTTCTCATGCTCAAACTTAAGGTTTTGTATTAAAATTTTCTGTCTTGTACTCACCGATCACGTTCTCATGCTTAAGTCGTATTCATGAAAAATTATGTGTTCAAGATTTGACCATGTACTCAAAGATTCTTGAGCATGCTCTTATAATTATCCATGCTCAGAAGATTGTTAAACTATGGTGGCTGGCCATGGCAGATTTGTAAATGAGTGATAAGAGAGAATGTTATGCCAAGGCCTAGAGTATTTATTGATCGCCATAATCTCTTAGAATCCATGGTGGAGGACGACGTTTTCAGAAGGTTTTGTTTCTGTACAGCAACGATTATTTACATCATGATAACATTGCACATGGAACAAGACGAATATTGTTGCTCCCGACCCTTTTACAAGTTTTGATGACTTTGCGATTCTTTGCAACATTTGCTTTTCAGCAGTTGGTTGGCAATGCTTTCATTGCTGTTCCCTAGCCAACTGGCTGTCGAGTAGTCAGGCCTTAATTGACCTATGAATCACAGATAGACCGAAGCTGAATTCCACATTTGTTTTATTATGTCATTTTACATTCAAACCAATGCTTATCACTCATGACACATCTAAATAAGAATGTCATATTAAACTTTAGTATATATTGGGTAGCACTTCTGTCTATTCTTGGAGTATTTAAAATATTTTCAAACTTTTCATATGACATCTCCCCTACAATCAATTACCTGGGTATTCAAAGTTTCCACCCGAGTGACGCTATTTTGTAGATTATGCAAATTACATGGGAGTGGCTATAAATCAACAAATCGTCCTGATCCGGACCAAAACTGAATACATTTTTCTATAAAGAAGAGTTGTGGATCGCCTCATTTTGTTGATAAGTCACTACAGTGTGATTGGCATAACCTATAAGTCACTACTAAATGGTGTCGCTTCAGGTTGGAAATTTTGAACGACTGAACACCGAAGACTCTACCGACAGTATCAATAGCAGCTGTTGGGCCATTTATCGATATGTGTGAGGTAAGTGTATATGTTGTGTCTTAGCACCTCAAAGCTTTCCAACACTAAACGTTGGAGAATTCCATGGTTTAGTACTCTAGTATTAGTAGTGCGCTCTATAGCCCCACACAAGACCTATATCTGTCAAAATGTCTAAGCCAAGAGTCAGGACCTCTAAATGTGATCTTTCTCTGTTTTATTCCTGTCTGGGGAATTGTTGGGCTAGGTCTGAGGTAACATATGGATATTTTGGTAATTATGTAGGTTTAGGATACAGCAACTCAACCATCGGACTGCTGCAGTAGGGTCTAGAGTGGCGTGGGTTGTGTTATCAACTGTTGTAATTTGTTTTTAAATATGTCCAATATTTGCGGGTGCAATAAACATATATTACCCTGTATTGTATATCTTTTAACTTATTAAAAAGTTTATTTCATTTATCTATATGGACGGAACCTTGGGCAGTAAACAAACTCAATTCAAATCTGGTTTGACTCAATGTAGTCTTAGATAGTTAATTCTCACATGTCGCAAGATTGGTCACAGTGCACAAGAAATAATTCCTATGCCAAAGATGCAGTCCTTACCCTCTAATCTAATTCCGTGGTTGACCTTTGACATATATAACACTTCGAGTACAGTCCTATTACAATAACTGGACTCAACAACAGGTCCAGTACACTCTGCCGATTGAGCTATATAGCTGTAAAGACCTATAATAGCTCTATTGACCTATCTGAAATAGGTCTTTAGAGCTATTTTCAAGTGATTTTCTTTTTTAAGGAAAACGGAACAAAGTCGCATTTAAAAGAAGATTGTATCATTAGGTTGATTACAAAAGACATTAAATATAAGTATTCTTTTTTAAAAATAATGATGTAGAGAAATCAGAAATTTACATTTATGAAATATGAAAACAAACATCTTACTGTATGCTTTTGTAGTCAACATTACCATTAACCTTACTGTTTTCTGCGACTTTGCTTTAATTTAATGAAATTTGAAATGTGAGAAAATATGGCTCAATACAGCTATAATTATACTGTATAGCTCAATCGGCAAAGTGTACTGGACCTGCAACAACGCAGAATAATACATATAGTACGAATGTTCACCCAGTGCACTCATTTCTCGAGGTGTATTGTTCAGAAACGGAACTTTCGGTTAATACAACAGATACAGATACGAAATATGCAGTGCAAGTATGAAGACCTATCTAGCATCATGATCAGCTGTCGAATGTTTGAGTTCAATCGGGGTGAACACTGTCAGTTTTGGGTCACGTACATTTCCAATATCATCAATGCAGACATTTTTGTGGGCAAATCCGGACAAAAACTAATTCAGATTACAAAAGTATAATTATAATGTGATAACAAAACGACATAACGAACAGTAAAATGGAGGAAAATACTTACTTCGACTCCGCTTTCTTAGCCCAGATTATCTGTCATACCGGAAGTTTACAACCCGGTGCTGTCGCTTAAGCACTTACATTATGAACTGATAAACTTATCTAATGCAAGAAACAGTGTTCTAATGAAGACTATCTAAATATCTTTAGTTTAGTTTTTTATAGTTATTAAGTTATAATAGATATAACTACATAAAATGCTTTTTATTTATAACGTTGTCAGCGGCATCTCTATCATCATGGCGGACATAGAATGGCCATGGCAATACCAGTTTCCTCCTTTCTTCACGTAAGTTGATTAAGTCTTAATTCTTTAGAGTTATTTAACTACACTGCTTACTGCTAAACATTCAGTATCACAAATGTGCCACCACGATGTTTAAATGTACGATGAGTCTGTTGTCAGACGATCCCGCGATCGACGCTCTGACATTTGTCAACTTTCACTTTGTCCAGGGTCGCTTTCGTATGTCCGGAAACTGTTCGAGTGGCACAGGAAAAGTCCATGATCATTTAAATCACTTGGACCAGATGTCGGCCTGTTTAATAGACACATCTAAAATGCAGAATTTCTGTTTTTATGATTTTTTGCTAAATATAAACGATAGTCCAAAAGATATATCTAGGGTTTTCTCCTGTGTACTTAATTTTATAACATTACATAAATATCAATGAGCGACCATGATTTATGTAAAAAATATCGCAGTCTAGCGACAGTCAGTCTGTGTATGAACAGGCACGACTGCTTGTATCTATTTTCCGAGAGGGAGATAACCATGCAGAACATCCTCCATAGTGTCTCTTGGAAAAAAATGCTCTTGGGGTTTGATGTGCACTTCTAAATGTTTTCTTGTGTTGGTTGCAACCAACTTTCCGTGCATGGATAGAAAGATGAGCCTTTTAATATCTGTCTATGTATCAATAAAAAATGTTGACCTTTAAGTTCGTTTATAAAATTACCCTCACCAACTTTGAAGGTCACATATATATATGTAAATCTAGACACAAATTTCTAAAAATAGATCCATTAAGTGAACTAGGCCAAAGTGCCAGCTTTCATGCAATCATGTTTTTAAAGAAATTTTGTTTTGGTCCAGTTTGAAAGTAAGAGATGTGAACTGGCATGCCAACAGTATAAAGTATGTGTATCAGGTAAGCAATTCAGGCCAAATGGGCCTTTTGATGTTGTAAGTAACAACTTTTCTTTGCTAACTTTTACCACAGAATTCAGCCCAACATTGAAACTCGGAAGAAACAAATTGAAGCTTGGTGTTCCCTTGTCTTGTCCTACACCCGCCAGCAGAAAACCTACAGCATTGACGTGAGAGAGTCACAGAACTCGCCACTGTTTAACAACAAAGCCATCAACCGTATCCTTAGTCACATTTAACTTGAATAATAATACACTCTAGGGTTGTAAAAATCCACTTGCCCCGGACGCCCGGGAAAACCAGTTTTAGCGCTCAGGCAAGTGCAAAAACCTTGCCCACTTGCCCTGGGCAAGTGCGTTAGAATAGTTAATAAAACATGTTTTTGCATGTGTTTCTCTGTTCCCGAAATAAATAATAAACCTAACTGGTGTTTTTTTAGTGAAAACATTCAAACAATTACGAAGCAAACACAGATACACGAAAAAAAACCTTTACTCTTCATTTTGAGGAAAAAAATGCCGGTAGAATACTAGCGGTCTATCCATCAATTCAGACAATTTTAAGACTTTAAAGCCAATGAAAATAGCTGAAACTCCAACTAAAACATAAAATATGAATAGATTAAGAATTTGTCTAAAAAAACGTCTCCGTTAGAATTGCAGGAAGTTGCCTTGGCGTGACTAATAACTGGACAAATCCGGACCCGTATTTCAGGAATTAAAGAATATTCAAAAGTAAATAATTTTAAATAAAAAGAATATGAAAGATAAATACATGTACATCCACTAAAATGGTAACAATGCTATTGTTTTGTCAGATCATAAAAAACTCACTTAAAAGTATAGATCTATTTAAGTTCAATAATAATGTTGGAGCAAAAACGCTTCACACAGAGGTTTAATGCAATCACCCCTGAAATTTCATAATTGACCATTACAACTTTTGAACTGGAAGAGTTAAAATGTGTCTTCAGGGGTGAATGAGTTAAAGAATGAATCTTTTAAACATTGCTATCATTTTTGTCAGAGGGTGAATATATTTGACCTACACTTTTTGAGTGTAGTCCAGCAATTCTTTACTTTTGTCTGATGACTACCAGTAAAACTTTATATAAATGATACAAGGGTTGACATAGAAGATACTTTTGTCTGATGACTACCTGTAAAACTTTATATAAATGTTACAAGGGTTGACATGTAGAAGATACTTTTGTCTGATGACTACCTGTAAAACTTTATATAAATGATACAAGGGTCGACATAGAAGATACTTTTGTCTGATGACTACCTGTAAAACTTTATATAAATGATACAAGGGTTGACATAGAAGATACTTTTGTCTGATGACTACCTGTAAAACTTTATATAAATGATACAGATTGTAAATGTGATATCTTTATACAGGTAGTGATGCCAGATAAAAGCTGTTGGATTAAATTGCTTCGATTGGGTTGACATAGAAGATACTTTTGGATCTTCTTCAATATTGCTATACTTTTATCCGATTTGCAAAAAAAAGTTGACCTAGAAAATAATCTATGAGTGTTGTTAATACATGTCTTTATTGGTAGTGATAGGTTTAAACTAAGAATACCATCGTTTGAATAGTATTGACATTTGTTCTTTTGGAGTTTATCAGATTATTTAAACCTTAACTGCTGACAGGCAAGCTGTCTATGGATTGTATCCTGACTGTGCTGGAAGAACTTAGAAAAACAGGTATGGTAATAAACACGTCAATCTTGTCACCGACTGTGTAATAACATTAACTGCATCATAGGCTGTTAAATTGTGTTACCGTCACAGTGTATGTGTTGGTGGAAATATGACCAACAAAGGTATCAAGGTTTCAGTGATATAAATAACTATGAGGCATTATGATATTAACTCATTCACCCCTGAAGACACATTTGAACTCTACCAATTCAAAGGTTGGAATAGTTCATTAAGAAATTTCAGGGCTGAATGAGTTAATTAGGTGTCAGGTTTATAAAACTGTATATCAACCTCATAAATTGGTCCATATTTACCAAATATTAGATAAATGACTCTAAGACCATATCTCAAAAATATGGATTTTTTTTAGAAACTTCTGTTTTTCCTAACCACTTGGATGTCTGAATCTAAGTTATCAAACTAAGGGGAGATAAGCTGGTAGTAAAATGCAGCTGGGAAATTCTTCAGAAAAATTCAGGGGCTGGTAGCCAGTTTAGCAAAGACTGTTCTTGTATTTAGGTTGATTTAAGGATTCTCTATAACTCCATCTCTTGTTTTTCAGGACACTTGGAATGGACCGATAACAAGACAAAGAAACAATGTCTTGTAATGTGGAGAACACCAGAGGAATGGGGAAAGCTTATATACAGCTGGGTAATTATATAAGTAGACATGGGGCAAGAACACTGGAAGGTGGACCCAATAGCCAATAGGGCATACTTTCATCTAAGTCAAATGAAACTAAAATTTATTTCACATTATATTTTGACAACTTTCTGTTGGAAATTATTTTTACTTAGTGAAAATTATCCTTGGAGGAAGATGGTTTCAAATTGTAAAGTTGATATTCCTACCCCAACCACTGGGGCCAGGGTGGGGCCCCAAAGGGAAAATTAACCAATATTTCAAAAATCTTCTGCTCCTGACTCAGAGGTACTACAGTCATTTTCTCTACATGGAAAGAAAGATCATCAGGGGCTTTACTTAAATTGTAAATTTCAGGACCCCCGAGCTATCCGTTCTCCCTTGGGGAGGGGGTAAAGTTTACTATAGTTTATATAGGGAAATAACACTTTTGGGTATGTTTTATCCATTTTCAGCAGAGAATTACTCAAACTTAGTCAGAATCATCTTTGGTGAATGAGAGTATTACTTTGTAAATTGGGATTCCTGCCCAATCCCAAGGGGCTAGGGCAGGGCCCCAAAGGGAACATTTACCAATATTTTCAAATTCTTATCTTTTGATGACATGACAAGTATTGTATTTCACTTAGTTTACATGCTGATATCCACATCACATCTAAACAATAAAATAAAGCTACCAGTACCTATAATATAACTCAGGTGACCGCTAAGGCCCTTGGGCCTCTAGCTTGTTTTCAATGATCTTTGGAAGTATTTGAGATCATCAACATGTTTTTTTTACCAGCAACTTGAGAATCAAATACACATAGAAAGCTGTCTTTATTGTAAACTAACATGAAGAGGGAATTGGATGTAATAGAATACTGTAGTTAAAGAGTGAGTCAGATGTGACAGGTGTTCTTTTTACTCAGGTGTTGGTAAAGTTAACCAAGTGATGGTACTTATTGACAGGTGGTCTGTATAGGCAGGTTGTCTTTAAAAGCAGGATGTCATTGTAGTCATGTGTATGAAATATATTGAAAAGAATGCTTTTAAAGAGAGGTGGTCTATATAAACAGGTTGTTGTCAAAGGTCACCTTGAGACATATTTCAACATTAGGTATCACATGTCATCTTTCATTTAGGGAATTCAAATCCTTGTTAATAAATCAGTTTAATTCAATTAAATTAAAATAATATTCACGATATATTATTTACAGTTCTATACAAAAATCGAAAAAATAGATTTAAGAAACATACTTTCAAACACTTTTACACATTAGGAAATCGTCCTGGGTGAATCGATAATTTCTGATTCAATAGATTGCTGTGTTAAACATATAACCCACTTGCAGTAACTTTTATCAAAATACCCATGCTTCCTCCCCTCTACCAAGAAGGAACTGTTTTCATATATGTAAAGTTAACTTATTTTCGTACATTTGTAGATCTGTAGTCGCAGTATGAACAACACGGTGTGTACACTTTTTGAACTGACTGAAGGAGAGGAATCTGAAGGAACTGGTCAGTTTGATAAATTGTATATTTTTAAGAGAGCCTCAGCGTTTTAAGTATTTTCAATTAGATTTCTCTATTAATCTACCATTGTATACATATGATTTTTTTTTCCTCTCCTGTCAAAATCAAATATTCTACTTTCTCAGAAAAATCACTAATTGTAATGATTGTATAAATAAGAGTGGCTTATTCTAGCTAGGTAGGGTGCTTTATCAAATGTTGTATATTATTATTATCTTTACCATATTGTTATTTTCTTAAACCTCTGTGTGATTTTTTCAAAATAATGAATTAAGGAAATCAATTCTACCGATCCTGAAACGGTAGCATCATTGCTCTCAGAAAAAAAAGCGAAAACAATTCTTCGAAAATTAAACAATTTTTCTTCATGCTGTTTTTCACACGACTTTTTGTAAATACCATATTTGAACCATATCACTATTATAGTTTAATTGGTGCTCAGACCAACTTTGTCTCTTGATATATTTTCCCTCAACTAATTCACCCCTGGAATTTTATAATGAATCATTCATTTGGATGAGTTCAAATGTGTCTTCAGGGGTGAATGAGTTAGTATAAAACAATTCGGAAAATATCAATTTATGATTTTGTCAAATACATTTACAAAAAATGATAAATTAGTCTGTAAAAAGGTCAAAGGGTAAAGGTCAGATGTAAAGGTTATGTGATTTCTTTGGTTAATTTGATTCTGTTTAATCCTGAATGTCTCTCAAAGTGATCAACAGAATTTCATCACACAATTCTTCATCAAAACATAGAAGAGAAGTGTGAAAGCTTCAGAGGCTGAAGATCGAAGGTGAAAGATCAAGGTCATTTTGTCTAAATCATTGTTAAGCAAATTTTACCAACATTTGATGATTTAAAAAAAAAAAAATCTGAAATCATTCACCAACCCTGTCAATGCCATAAGGAATGGAGTGTGAATGTGATAAGTCTGAAGGTCAAAAATCAAGGTCACAAGATATTTCTTTCTATATATAATGTACCATGAAGACCAGTGTGGCTTTAGTTCTATAATCTGCAGCAAGATGTTAAGTGTTTTTGGTCTCGTTTCAGAGTTCCATGGACTGGAGAATTGGTTACTTCTACGCGCCCTCAAATCACTGGAAAGTCAAGAACTTGCTGAACTGATGTCGTTTGATGGCAGCGACGGTGTCAAGTTTTTCTGAGATCAGACATGTCATAGACTTTCGGCCCGAGCAGGGATCACAAATCGGACATGCTGTAGACATTCGGCCTGAGCAGGGATCACAAATTCGACATGTCATAGACTTTCGGCCCAAGCAGGGATCACAAATCGGACATGTGAAAAACATTTTTCAGCAGAATGTGATCAATCTGGAACATGTGAAATTGTTTTATTTTCAGAAAATATTATTTGTAAATCGAAAGGAAGTTTTATTACCGGGCCGTAATGGAGAGGATATGAAGATTCTACCTGCAGAGTTTTTGTACTCCCTTTGTTGGGTGTTTTATTGAAATATAAAAGCAAGACTCTCTCATTGTGATAATGAAGTTGCAATGGGAATGAAACAGTGATCCGGAAACAAGAGTTCTGACGTCCTAGTTTACAACTGACGTCCAAAGGTTTATAAACTGTTATGTAGAGCAGATGTGAATATTAGTCTACACAAATTAAGAAATCAGTAACATGTAAGAAAGTTAAACACATTGTACAATCTCATAGAATTTGTATTTGTGTTTATAATACACATATCTACAGTATTGTGTTCATGATGATCTGCAATGAATACACCCGTCATAATTTGTGTATGATGTCATGCGCTAACACTTACTGTGACGTCATAACCAAGACAATAAATATGACGTAATGACATTGTGACATTGCATTAAAGACAATATAAATGAATTCAAAATAACAACATTGATACAAGTATATTAGGATAAGAGAAAAAGTGCTTTTTACAAACATTAACATTCAAACCTGTATCAAGAGACCACTGATAGGAAGTCCATAAAGTGGTATCTTAATGCAAGTTACAGTCATAATGAAATCACTAAAGAGGAACCTGAAAAGTGGCCACCAAATACAGGTGGTCTCTTCATACAGGTGGTCTCTTCATACAGGTGGCCTCTTAATGCAGGTGCCTCTTAATGCAGGTGGTCTCTTCATACAGGTGGCTTCTTCATGCAGGTGGCCTCTTCATACAGGTGGCCTCTTAATGCAGGTGGCCTCTTAATGCAGGTGGTCTCTTCATGCAGGTGGCCTCTTAATGCAGGTGGCCTCTTAATGCAGGTGGTCTCTTCATGCAGGTGGCCTCTTAATGCAGGTGGTCTCTTAATACAGGTGGTCTTTTCATATAGGTTCAATTCACAATAAAATCAATTAAACATTAAAAGTGGCTTCCTAACACAGGTACCTAATGGAGATGGTCACATGAAAAGATTTGACTGTACATATATTCTTGGTCATATGAAGAAAATGATGAATATGAAGGTGTTTTTTTTAGATTGTAAAAAAAAATGTCGAAACTCATTCCATAAATTCTGTTGAAGCTCCGATATTCATAATCTTCTGCAGATAGAAATTTCCTATTGGTACTGTTTACATGTGTGTATCGTGTATGGATACCATTTATCCTACTTTTTCTGTTCTGAACCTATTCAGTATACCTATATGCACACTTTTATCTCATCAAGGGAGTAAAACTTGTCTAGTCTGACCTCTGAGTATTCTGACATCCTGTATCATCCAATGTAATACTGTTATCCCATTTATAACAAATATCTCCATATAAAACCTGTGTATTTCAATCACTCAAATAAACATTGACGTCTTGTTTGACATGTAAAACAGAAAGTTACATTATCTCCTACTCCCAGTGACAATGTGTGGGTACATGTATATCATCAGTAGGTGACCTCTTAACAGAAGCAACATCAAAGATTGTGTCTTCTGGTCTAGCTGTTTATTCAAGATTTCTGTGGGGAAAATGACGTGCTCTTAATGTTAAAACCTCAGTGAAATCATTTTAAATAATTTATTTTAAATTGAAAGGCATTTTTTTCACGAGTATTGCTTTATACTGAGTAACTGTGCAAAAGTTTTAAAACTGTAATTATGTGTGAAACGATGTTCTGTGTCTAAATTATTACGGAAGTGTATGGCCTAGAATTGTACATAAAATAAGATACATTTTGTGTATTGTGTTTCGTAATACGATACATTTTGTGTATTGTGAAATGTTCTATAAATCATGCTTATATATATATATGTTGTGTATGTACTAAAAATTGTACATATATCTGTATAATAATCTTTAAAGTGTCTATAGCTAGGAATAGTACAGAAACTTTCACAGTGAAACCTGACTTTACTGACACCTGACTTTAAGGACAGCCTGCAGTAATATACAGTAAAACTTGACTTTGCTGGCACCTGACTATAAGGACATTCTGTAATATACAGTAAAACTTGACCTTGCTGGCACCTGACTTTAAGGACAGCCTGTAATATACAGTAAAACCTGACTTTACTGACACCTGACTGTAAGGAAATTCTGTAATATACAGTAAAACTTGACCTTGCTGGCACCTGACTTAAGGACATCCTGTAATATACAGTAAAACCTGACTTTACTGGCACCTGACTTTAAGGACATCTTGTAATATACATTACGACCAGACTTTACTTGCATGTGACTTTACTGACACCTGACTTAGACATGTTTAACATCTAATGTGATTTTATGGCCTTAAATAATTGGTTCTCGGTCTATAATGCAGATTTTACAGAAAGGTTTTTAAACCAAATGATTAAAACTTGTTGCTGGTAAAGACAGGTTTCATTGTGTAAGTTTGGAATGTTTTCAGATAGTGCAGATATCATTTTGCCATTTTGTAGTAATGGTTACATGTACAATGTCATCTGTGTTACTATGGTTACAATGTCATCTGTGTTACTATGGTTACAATGTCATCTGTGTTACTATGGTTACCATATCATCTGTGTTACTATGGTAACAATAACATCTGTGTAACTATGGTTACCGTGTCATGGTTTATCACAGCTGTACCATTTGACCTTGATAATGGTTACCATGACAGCATTTGTTACATGGTGTTACCATGGTTACAATATCATAGGTGCCATAATGCTGATCATGTCTTTAGTTGTTATAAAAAAAAATCAGATTCTGGTACCAATACCTAAAATGAATTCAATAAATTAAAGAAATATTAAAGACCTTAACTGTTGTACTTTGTTCATGCAAAACCATAGAAAATACAAATGTATTATTATAGGATGGAGACTTTAAATGTATCCATGTAAGGACCAATGGGAAAGTCTGTTAAGGTTGGGGCTGACCTTAAGACCAGTTCTGTTGGCATGATTGCGTTTTTCTGTTCATGTCCAACAATTTTATTTGGTGTTTATACTGTGGAGACCTTGACAGATTCAATGTTATGACTCGTGGAATGAGTCTTCAAGGGTGGGGTGTGATCTTGAAGCCATCCTGGTAGCATATGTGTATTCATCTCTTTACATTCAGCAATTTTATCATGAAAATTATATGGTTATAAGATGGGCATATCAACTGTTTCCAAGTTTTTAGTAAAAAATGAGTCCCTAGTGGTATGGTATTAGAATATTTATACTCTACAATGTCTGTAAGGTTATCAGATGGGGATCCCAACAGTCTATGACCCAGGGACCAAGTATACAAGGAAGGGAACAGACCCTAGCTACCATCTTAGTAGCATAAATGTATTTATCTCTTTATACTTAGCGATTGTATATATCATTATAGGGTGGGGATCCCGCCTATTCTGAAGTTATAAACAGTTGTAAACTCTTTGCCAAACCCATCAGTCATGGAGGGTCAGCGTTTGAATTGGTTAAAATTTGAATCCCACCACTTGTGGACGCATATGATACCAATCTCATTGTTCAAGTAAATAAATACGGCCAAACTATCCTTTCGGCCCTGTCCTCAGTCCCCTGGTCGCTTAGAGCAAATATAGCTTATAGCCAAATAACCTTTTTTTAGGCCAGGCCTCTCAGCACATCCGATCCGAAAATGTTTAGTTCCCGCCGCTTGAGAATGCTTTCAACCAAATATGGCCGATATCCATCTCATAGCTCTTGTAGAGAAGTCGTTCAGTATGAAAGAGCCCCACCATTTGTATAATTTTTAATCCTTACCACCTAGGGATGCTTACATTCCAATCAGCTGTTCAAAAGATGATGTTTGAACAAATTGAGCTTACCTTGGTCCTTTGGATATGGGTTAAGAACAATAAAGTCTAGGTAATGTGTTGTGTTTATTGTCGATTCAGACTGATGGAGGATACTGTTGTACAGTTATTCAGTGTCGATTATAGTAGAGTTTGTTAATTGTATATTATGTAACAGGAGAAGAAAAATGCTTAGCCAGATCGGAATTCGAACCCGGGAACCTCCGAACTCTAGACGGATGCTCTACCAATTTAGCATCCTGGTCGCCTGCGAATGCACAGTCCTTATCTGCTACATTCCTCCCACCTTTAACAAAGTCTTCAATCCCGAAGACACACAAGACACTATACTATACAACTTTTCGTTGGGCACCAAATGTAACAGTCTTACATTCACAAACCAAACGTCAGTACTAACAACGTTCTTCTTGGTACAGTTCACAAATCTATATATCCGGAATAACGAAAATGCACAAACCTAATCATTCGGATAAACAGCATGTCAAGATTAACGAGTTTCTACTGTAAACAAAAAGCAAAGTATCTGGAGTAAGTTACACTGTACACACAAACCTTCACTAACAAGGTTCCACTGTACACACAAACCTGCACTAACAAGGTTCCACTGTACACACAAACCTGCACTAACAAGGTTCCATTGTACACACAAACCTGAACTAACAAGGTTCCATTGTACACACAAACCTGAACTAACAAGGTTCCATTGTACACACAAACCTGAACTAACAAGGTTCCATTGTACACACAAACCTGAACTAACAAGGTTCCATTGTACACACAAACCTGAACTAACAAGGTTCCATTGTACACACAAACCTGAACTAACAAGGTTCCATTGTACACACAAACCTGAACTAACAAGGTTCCATTGTACACACAAACCTGAACTAACAAGGTTCCATTGTATATGCAAACATAAGTATTCAGAGTAACGATGTTCCACTGTACACACAAACATAGATACACACAAACCTAAAAAAATCCTATTTTACAAAGTTCAAATGCACAAACAAACCTTAGTATCAAGACTAACGTTCCACTGTACACACAAACCTAAATGTCCGGACTTACAATGTTCCACTGTACACATAATCCTTATAGAATCCAGAAATACAAGGTTCCGTTGTATATACAAACCTAAATATCTTGACTAACAAGGTTAAAATGTACACACAAACCTTAGATATAAACTTTATTTATTTTACAACAGTTTTGAAACAAGTTAGTTCAACTTATATTAATCACTCTTGTTGGCCCGGATGTTAGCACGTCAGGAAACTGGAGTACCCGGAGAAAACCAACGTGATCAGGCATGTGTTCCCATAGTTTTACTCGTCCAATTGGGGAATCGAACCACGGTCGCCTTGGTGAAAGACAAGTGCGCTATGCACTGCGCCACCCGACCACTCAACTGAACAAACCTTAGTATAAGGACTAACGGGGTTCTTATATGTCCTTTCCTTATTCGGTTCCTACAGTATCCATCCTGAATTTAATTGTAGATATCTTCAATTGAATCTTTCTTTAATCAAATGTACTTACATGTATATTCAATTTCAATCATTTAAAGATACACGTAATTAAGTGCAGTTATTTGAATATATGTTACTTTTTGAGTTCCATATACTACATATGTAAGTGTACCGTGACGTTATATACATATCAAAGATCCATTAGTCCGTCCTTACTTTCAGAACGCTGCGGTATTGATTAATGTACGTTACATAAGTAGGAGGGTTTAGAAAAAATGGAAGTGGTAGAATGCAAGATTCTAGCGACAAACAGTATTCCTGTTGGGGAAATGTTGTAATATGATTCGTTATTATACTTCATAAAGCTTTTGGATTGTTTGTGTTTAACGTACTATTAACAGCTATGGTCATTTAAGGACGTACCAGGTTTTGGTGGTGGAGAAAAGCAAGTTCCCGGAGAAAAACCACCGATCTACTGCCAGTACATGGCGACTGCCACACGTAGGTCTCGAACCCGCGACCCAGTGGTAGAGGGCTAGTGGTAGCAGAATGTCAGACGCCTGAACCTCTTGTCCTCCGCGGCCCCCACTTCATGAGGCACACGTTACAGGGCTACACATGTCGAGGACTTTTAGAACATTATAGATGTTTATATTTCTATTTAAAGCAAAACCTGTCTTATTTTATCCCAGTCTACTTCGATATCATGTAAAATACAACATTTTGTTGTAATCTCAATTCGCACGAAAACCGACGAACAACGCTGATATATTCTGTCTAATCGGTCGAACAAGTCTTTTTACCCAGCATGACGGACTAGACTGGCTCCATCATATCTATGCATATGTGTAAATATTCTGATGTGCTCTTGAAATTAAGTGCCGATACTAACGATTTAAGTTTCATTGTATGCACAAACTTGAGCTCCGAGAAAACGATGTTTCCGCTGTTTATCGGTATGACGACAAACGTCCGTGGTTCCAAGTGCACCCACAAACGAGCACACACAAACAAGCACACACACCAACAGCAGAAATATTATGATTAACGCTATTTCACAATTCACGGCATAAACAATTTACAAACTGATTATTCTGACGAACGAGGTCCAATTTTATGTAACATTTATATACTTGTGAGCACGAAATTTGCACGATGTTCCACTGCACAAATATATTGACGAAGCATTTTGATTTTACTACACACGTTAACCAACCGTATACTAACGAGGTTCCACTGTATATACACAAACCTAGGTATCAGAACTAACAAGGTTCAACTGTACACACAACTAATCATCCGGACTAGCGAGGTTCCACTGTGTACTGCAAACCTAAGTATCCTGACTAAAGAGGTTCCACTCTACACAAAACTAATTATCCGGACTATCGAGGTTTCATTGTGTACTGCAAACCTAAGCGTCCGGACTTAAGAGATTCCACTGTACACACAAACCTAAGTATCCTGACTACAGAGGTCCACTCTAAACAAAACTAATTATCCGGACTAACGAGGTCAGAAATTAACATTTAACAGTTGTTAGACAAAATTAGGTAACCTTGATCAACTTTTGAAAGTTTGACCTTCATTATCCAAAATAGTCATCGGAAAAAGAGATTGTACAAAAAACCGTTATTGACCAGATTATTTGAACTTTATTTAAAGACATTGTCACAGGGTTCAGAACTATACATATATTTTTCCAAGACAGGTACATATGAACCACTTTTTTTCTAGTTTCACCTCAACTTTATAAGTTGTTACAGGATTCAGAAATTATACTAAAACCTATTTTTCAAAGTTAGACGTACATTATTAAAAATGTCATAAGGTTTAGAAATTAGCATAAACGAATAAATAATGATGTTAACCAAATTACGTCACTGTGAGATACTTTTCAAGATTCAAACTACATTATACAACATGTATGTATTGTTTTTTAAAGAGTCAACGGGTAACAAAACAAAATTCAACTGTTTTGACATAAGAATGTCATGGTGACCTACTTTTCATACTTTCTTTTCAATTTAACCCTGGTTAAAATGACCTTAGTCGTATTGAGCATGAAAAATAACCCAAAAAATATTTCGACAATTTTCTATATTGAATGTGTTAATATGGCCCCGGGTCCTTATTCCACGTTGAAAATTGACCCCAGAAAATCCTGAAACCTTTTAACATTCAATTGTCAAAAAGTGACCCGGGTCCATATTCAACGTTGAAAATGGACCCCTGAAAAATGTTACAGTTTTCCATATTTAATAGTCAAAAAGTGACATAAGTACTCAACGTTGGAAATGTACACCAGAAAAATATGACATAAGTCCAATGTCAAAATGTAGCCCCGGGTCCATATTAAAAGTTGAAAATGGATCCCAGATACACTATGTCGTTTTTATATGTTCAATTTTTCGAGAATGGTCGTGGGTCGATATTTTACGCTGAATATGGACCCCAGAACATTATGACACTTTTTTTGTATTTAATTGTTAAACAAATAACCCGGGTCCATATTC